AGCTCATACGCTTTTCGGTGATAGACCAAAAAGTGATACAGAAAATGGAAAAGAAAAAGTAACGAGGAACCGTCGAAACCGACGCAATTTGTAGCATGACGCATGAATGCAACGACAAAACGTTGCAAAATAATTATTATTCTGGGGAAAAAAATGAACGAATGAGCACATAAGTGTGCGCAATATACATCAACATATTTAAAATATCGTCGGTATAATTCATACGATATCTTCATCATCCGGAGCGAGTTTGCCGGCGGCGGCAGCGGCAATGACGATGATGGTGACGGTAATTGTGTACCAAGCCGTTCTACTCGTCAGCATCAATCAGAGATATGCGCTTAAAATGAAGCGACTAAAAATTATTATGTGCTCTTACGTAAAATTAATAATATCAATCAAGTTAATTGGTGCGTTGTTAGTTCCATCGTTAATTTGAACATATTAATGAAATCCAAAAAGCTGCGTCAAAGAAGTCACACGTGTATGTGTGTTCGCCTCGCATGTTCCAGAGGCAAATTCACAAACATGGGCCGTAGCACGAGTGAGTTTACTTTTCACGAGTGCTAGCTACGATGACTTTATGCTGCTGATAGTTTCCGTTTTGTGTTAATGGCATGCCTATTTCCATGATATGCTACTAATGGACACATTTTCGCTAAGGACTTCCATGTGAATAAATTTTTTGTATACATATATATATATATATATATATTTTCGCCGAACGTTAGCTATTGCAACGAGGCTGACAGCATCAGTGGCAGCAGCTCTTTCGGCTTTGCTGTTGGAGTCAATATGAACATGCAGAGGTTTGGACCTTTTTGCCATTCACTGTAAAAGCCATGCTCAACAAACTTTTCTTAACTATCATGACTCACAACGATGAACGTAAACGAAATCTCAAGTACACGAATAAAATAACTGATGATAAAGTCGACGGCGGTTACGATGCAACGATAGTTGCGTGAAGTAAACTTGTTAACTTTTTTGCCTATGATACACTTGAAAAAGTGGAAAAAAGAGCAAAGAAATATGCGAGAATCAAGAAACGCAGAACTCACACAGCAGCGCGAAGGAGTTGTTTGCCTTAATTTCATTTAAATTAAATACTTTTCAGATACTCATGAACACCCCATATCAATATGGATATGGCCATGGACGAAGTATTTCAGTGGTGGAGTGTGGCACAGCATGGAATGAGCACAACTTCTGATAACTCGCTTAATTTAAGCGAAGAAAAAGAAAAAAAACGAAACATGTGCTCCGTACCATTTAATAGAGTCTCAAAAATCCATATTCAAACAACTTGAAACACTGATTGTCGAAAGTTTTCTCCGTCGCATTTACGATGTAAATGTCTAGGGGAATATCACGCTTAAATTATTTCAAATATTTAAAAAAAATCCAATTTATCTCTAAGAATCTGTCGTATGAAATATGATGGATATTTGTGAATACGGCGGAATATTTTGGATTTTTGTGATTATGAATGATATTTAAATGTATTTATTTAGATTTAATGCAAAAAATCTCAAATATCTCCAAAATCCACAAAAATCTGATTTATTTATTCGAAATATTCGAAAATATGTCATGCAATTGATGTTTATTTCAAATATCTCAAATATCTCACAAGATTCAGGAGCGTGATATTCCCCTAGGTAAATGTTCTTTGATTTGTTGTGTATGCGTCGACGAGAGGATGGGGCGCATTTACCACTTACAATTCTTTCAATCAATGAAATTATATGGCTCGCTTTATTTTTTGCGGCGAATCAATTAAAATCGCTAATTATTCCGAATGAACCATTTAAAATTTTTCATCAATTGACACATTGAAGCGAAATAAATGAAATTAAATTATATGAAAGTGCTTCCATACGTCACCATTATCATGGAATTTTATATTAAATAAATTATGCAACGAACGCATACAAATGGCCATTCCAACTGGTACACTTCATTCTCTTGTTCGTTCGTCCGTTCAATCGGTCGCATTCCGGATTCATTTATTATATTTGCCTGTTTATTAATTTACATTTCAATTGAATCGATGTCATTTTTGGCGGAAAGTTCTGCGTTAAGTGCAAGTGATGAACCAATGTGGTCGATTTTTGTGTGAAAAATGGTTAGCGGCCAAAAGCCGAGCGCTTTTAATCGATCCGTTTGTTTGTGCGAGAATAGTGATTGTGAGAGAGGGATAGGGAGCGAGAGCGGGCAAGTGAATAAGTGAGATAGAGAGACGCGATTGCATGAGGCATCTTATCAACAATAAAGAATGGAATAAAATCGAATTTTCATGACATTACATAAAGATTCCAGACGAAAAATATGTTCTGTTTCTTATCTGCTGATTCTCGAGCTCTCTTTCCCTCGCTCAAGATAGACAGAGCACCGTGCGCACAACACACCCACAGACATTTTACCGTTTTTTTTCCGATTCGCATTCTGGCTCAATTCATTTTTCGCCTGCAATTTTTCTACTGATGCAATTATATTTGCTTTTTTATGGACAAAGTAATAAAAGTTGAAAAGAAAATTTATGGATTTTTATGAGACAACATTAAATGTCTGTTGCGTAATCGGGCGATGGTTAAACTAAAAACGAAACGACACTAGCTTACTCATCTCATTCACTCTCCCGCACATACGGTTTGAGGAAAAACACAACGACAACAATAGTTGCAAAGAAAGAAGACGATGAATCGGGTAGAAAATAAAGCATATTTACCTATGGCGAACATAAAAAGTCTGAAGACACAAAAAGACAAACGCACTGTTCGTTCGTTCATTCGTTCGTTTTGGTCGAAGCGAAGAAAATTGAGGAAATAAAACAAACTGAAAATGAATAAAAATTGAACAAAATCGACGAACCAAATTGGAGAGATTTAACAACGATAAAATGGCAACTAAAAGTGGCGCTACCCATTTTGCATACACAACATTGCCATTTTCAAATACATTCACAGAGACAGAGTTAGAGTGAGATAGAAAGAAAGTCAAAATACAACCATTGCGACCAAATGCAAGCAACTTCTTCGTCGTCTTCGACTTCTTCTCTTCTTTTCGACTATATCTCGATTTTTCGCAAACATTTCAATTGCATTGTGGATGCGTGCGGTTGATTCAGTGTATGCGATTGTTAGTGCATGTAAATTTGCCATCGAATCAAATAAAAGCGCAAAACGAGCTTCGAAGTGAAATACGATATTTGTGATTCTGGTTTATTTTTCCTCATCTGTTTTGTAAGTTGGTGTATGCGTGCTTTTTTGCCCAAATTCTTCCTTGCAATTTTATGTTATTATTCCCTTTGATTTTATTTCTCTTGCTCTATCTCATCTCGCTTACTGCTTCCGTCTCTATCCCTGTGCTTTTTCTGTCGTTTTTCCGCCAATGTGAATTCATTTTATGCATATACGAGTTATGATTGATGAAGTTCTAATAAAAACCGCTTGTATGTGAATATTGCCTGCACTGGTTAGCTGTCTATACCTATGAAAAAGCTGGGTGATTCGCTATCTCTTCGTTTGCAATTGCAATAAATGCACCACATACATTCATTTCACTCTCGAAATGTTGGCCGCTCACAATGGATTTTTCATTCTTCATCACAACACTTTTTCCAATAGTCTAAACACGTTTTATTTTCGTAAATCTTAACTTCATATTTTCGAATGGTGTGCGCGCGTGTTCTTCTGTTCTCTCTCGCTTTTACCTCATTCGTTTAGGTTACATGACAAATTGCACTGAGTACATTCCCAACCCCAAAAACACGAATAAAATTTTTAAAAAAGACCTTTTCGCCGTAGAGTTTCAACAGCGTTTTTATTTTTTTTATTTTTTTTTCTCTCTCTTCATCTTGTAATGCATTTGGAAGTTTTTGGCAAATAATATGGATTTTCGATGTATGAATATGATCGAGTGTAGATTTGCTTGCCCAATTCCATACACGGTTTCACCCGAGAAAATATTCAATATTCCGCTATGATAAACTACAAACTGACTGTTTAGCAAGGCATAAAAGCATCTATTGAATGGTTATTCAATTGAGGCAAAACGAAGAAAATGATGAAGAAGAAGAGGACAGCAGAGAAAAAAGCCACGATTCGTTGTTCCAGAATATCATCATTTCGTCGCAAGCATCGTCGTTGCACTGAAATACCACAATGTGAATTTCAAAAATAACACTCACACACACACACACACGAAGTGTGCTCTGGGTGCCCTGCTCAGTTCAGGGCTGCAGTTTTGTAAATATTCCTAACGTTACAGTTTGTTGTTTGCCTCACGTCGTTCGATTGAGTTGAAAAATATTTCTTGTTTTCAATTTGTTCGCCATAAGATGTGCTTTGATGCTCTGCTGCTGCTACCTGTGTAAACCGTTGACGATGAGTATTCGTTGCCATGCTCTTGGCTCGGCAAGTTTCGATGCAAACAAGTCGAGCGCGAGGGTATTTTTTTTTCAACTAATTTTTTTTTCCTTTTCCTGGTGCAAAAGAGATGAAGCCAGTCGAGAAGAAAAAGACGAAAAAAAAATATTATAAATATAGAATCGCATAAAAATTTATAAGCGGCACGTGATGCCCCATTACTTCCCAATAATAGAGTAAACATCATCGTATTATGACTGAGAGTAAAGTGGAACCAGCAAAAGCCGCCGAAATAATGGGGTTTTTAACGAAGGACAAACACGGAAATTGGCTAGATGCAACGGTGAAGGAAAAAAATTTACACTCCCGGCTGTGTGATTTTATGAACGATGAATGCCAAACAACATTTCAATACGAGTACACACACATTCACACGCTTGATTAATAAACGTCGATGAGGGTAACCAGGGCTTAATCAAGATGCCAAAATTGCATCCACTTCTTAAATATATTTGGCACTTAAACGATATATATTTTATTTTTACCATTCTTCCATCCATTTTCATCTCATTCATTCCCTCTTTCTCTCTCTCTCTCTCTCTATCTCTCTTTCTATTTTTCTCGTGGCAGGTACATGTTTGAAAGATTTGAAAATTTATGTGCCTGAAGCAGTGGCTGTTGATGATGCAGTAACTTTATCGTGTTATTACAACTTAGAAAATGTAAGTAGATCGAATGAAAACGTATCGAAGTGACAACAACATCAGAACAACACACAAACACACACACACACACTTACACTTACTCACTGGCTCCGTCTCCCCGAGCGCGTCAATTCACTGATGTGTTTACAGCAACAAAAATGAATTTATTGCAACAAATAAGATATTTATTTCAGACGTGTATCCAGAAGCATGAATGAATGAGCGAGCAAATGTGTGCAAGTGTGTTCATGATCTCAATGCTGTGCGTGCATGTGTGTATGCTGCTGCTGCTACTTTTTTTCTTCTCTCGGAACGCGCATTTGTTCAAAAATCATTTTCTCCGATCTCATAGAGTCAGACTCATTCTCTTTGTGTGTCATTGATTGATTTTTCCGTTTGTAAAAGATGCCACAATAAAAACGGAAATAAATCCAAACCATATGAGCACGTTCTGATTTACCAAATCAACTGCATGAAAGTGAACAGAGAAAGAGTCGCGGCGATGAAGCAGACAGAGAGAGAGAGATAGAGATGAAGAAAATAACAAGAAAGCAACACCACTATTGTACATGCGATGCACATGCGAATTCGAGTATGAATGCCATATTAATATTTCTGAAGTTAAAACGCCAAAACCGTATGTTCTCTGCACCATGCACGAATTCCTCTGAATGAGCGACTGAATGCGCGAGAAGTGAGCGAACAGAAAAAAAAAACAAGTAAAAAAGCGTGGCTGATGACAGACTTTATGTTTTCAATATGTTTCGTGATATCTCATGCGATATTTCTGCGTGTTTGACTTTCAAGTGTGTGTTTGCGTACACTGATGGTTGCAGTCAATTTTGATTTTGTTTTCCGATGATGCTCGATTGCTTCATCGAATTTTTCACATTTATCGCATAGAAAAGTGGCTCTTTATTAAGGTAACCGTTTCTAATTTACAACTTAACACCCATTTAGTTGAAGTGTGAAATTGGAAATCGTCGTAGGGAGGTTCGGAGATTTGAAAAAAAGGGATAGCAATCGTGATCTTTCCGACGAAGTAGATCAACCTTAAAGGCAATTTAATCAAATCAATTTTACTCGATATATTTTTCATTTGGGTAAATTCACCATTTGGGCCAACACGCGATTCAATTTGTGTGTTTTTTTTTTTCAAAAGGGATTTTAAGAAAATTTAATTTTTTTCCCCGTTCGAACGAATATTTCTCTCTTCCTCTCTCCCGAAAGGTTAACACTAACGACCGAAATTCAGTTACAACTTTATTGCGAGACACGTTCGAGCATTGGTTGCCTAGGAGTTGTGATGTGGCGCGAAATAATCAGATTTTTCCAGTGTTCATAATTTCCAACCAAGTAAATTGAATGCACGTTGAATTCAATTGATGTCATACATAATAATAACGAAATAAAAACAATCATACAGCTGTAGTTAAACCCTTTACAGTGAGCTGATGCCATCGTTTTTTTTTGTCGGAACGAATTGTTCCATAATCCCGTCGAATATCGTTTCAATTGTCGTGTTTGAAGATTTAAATAGACACTGATTTAACGCTTTCCTTCAATCGCATTTTTTCACCCGAAACCGATTTTCAGTTGGCAGTGCCGCTGCTGTCGTTGCCGTCATTTCGAAACGTGCTATTTTCACACTGCTTGAAATCGAAATATTTCCGATATTTTATGCCGTTATTGTGCCGTTGTTGTTGCTGTTGTTACAATGCTAGTGAAACTGTTTCATAAATCGGCTTAGCAATACGGCATTTATGTTTTATGCAAAATGCTTGTACCTTATGTCAGTGTGAAAAGATACGCGAAGCGAAAAATTGTGCGACAACACACAACATGGTTTGAAGCGCGCTGCGTACACAAACGCGAGACTATCTTATAAAATAAATAGAATTATAAATATGGTTCGAACGGTCTGGTTGCAAACAAATCCTGACAGCAATAATGTCAACGTCGACATCATTTAGCAGCCAAAAACTGCATATGGTACCCGAATTCTTGAGCGCTTCCATTTTGGGAGTCCACTCCCTCTCCCCCTATGTCTCTGCCCCTGTCTCTGTATCTCAATTTCAAATTCTCTATTTATCCTTTTCGCTTCGTTTTTCTCTGTTTTCCAGACTTGGAAATGTTCAAATCATCCAATATGGAATGGAATTGCTGTGATTGCGTCGAAAATATTTTCGAAACACCAATCATTCATGCGTGAATTCCTTCAACTCTTCTTCATTTGCATTGATTTCAGCTCACCCAACAAAAATCGATAGTAACCATAAAATCGGAGAAAACAAAAGCACTTATAAAAGGTGTTTACGTGAAATAACGAAAATTCAAGCGAAAAAAAAGCTTTCTAATGTTTTCCCACCGATAAGAATTGTTTTCGATCGGTCGTAAAGCAAAAGAAGATTATATCAAAAAGAGCAATGCTTTTTTATCCACTCCCTCGATGAAAAATTATGGAAAAAATAACTCGAACATCGAAAATAGAACAACGAAGAGTGAGAGAGAAAGAGAGAAAATGAAACGGAGCAAAGAAAAAAAATGAGGAAAATTGTAAATGTGAAAAGTTTATAAGAATGGCTAATGTGAGGTTGAGTTAAAAGTTGGAAAGAAAAAATATCGCCGTGGAAATGGTTAGTGCACTAAGAATATTGCACATTCATTCTTTCGCAGTTTATTAATCTTATTATTCACAAAATTTGTGAATGCACTATCAATGAATGGCATTTTTGTGTATGCGTGCAATCATCACGACCGCGAAATGTATATTGCGAGTGTGCGACTGTGCGTGTGCGTGTATGTGGATGTGTATAGTTTGGGCCAAAAACGTTTCGAATGATTCTGCTCATAAAATAGCTAATAAATTAAAACTTATTTTTTGTGATTGTGTCTCGTGTAGTTTTTCTCCCTGTGTCACGATGCATTGTTGTAGTTGTCGTTGCTCGTAGTAATCTCTTTTTTTTATTTGTCGCAGAACTTTTCAGAACAGAAACGAATGCACGAAAAATAACTGAAAAAAGAGCTACGGTTGGATGGAGTGAGAGAAAGAAAAGGCGAGAGAGAGAGAGAGAGAGAGAGAGAACGAAAAAAATAACACGCATAACGTTATCAGAAACATAATTTTTTTCGCGAGCTTATTGCTACACTAAAGTCACGACAGTCACATTCATCCGATAAATGATTCCAGCTCCAACTGCGAAAATGCGTGATTTCATCATTTTGCGTACACATTTCGATTTGACGATCGGGCATTTTATTTCTTCTTCCATTTCATTGTATTGTTGGTCGAAACATATCCCAAACTGGCCCATTTGAATTTTTGACAAGTCGGCAAGCGCCTTGAAAAAAAATTCGTCAAAAAATTAGCATTCACTGCAACCATGTAATTCACAACAACCACAACAACAAAACAATGTGGAAGTACAGTATGCTGTTGGGCTATGTTTTGTACGCAATCAGCGCCAAATTTTCCGCACCAAATTTGTATCAATTTTATTCGGATAAAGTGTCGCGCATCACAACACACTGATATTTCCTTTTATTATTATTTCATAAAATCCAAATGGAAGTCATTCGAAAATGTTTACTGAACCGTGTTTATGTGTAACAATCTCGGAAAAGAGAGCAAAAAATGGGCCGTCGGCAGTCGGTGCGCTTCGACGATGCAAAATGGACGAAAAATGCGCATTTTTTGCTTTTTCGAAGAAAAAAAAACAAACAAATTTCTCTCTCTGTCTCCCTTTATTTTTGCCATATTGCAATGTGAGTGCGTTGTGTGTATGCATGATTCGTCGAGTCGATCGACTATAACTTAATTTGCCGTTAAAATGTGGAATTCCGATTTCATGTGAGTAATTATTTTCATTTGCCGTCGGCCGACGCTGTCTGGATCTCTGTTCGCCTCATTCTGTGCTGTGCCTGCTATTTTTTGTTGTTGTTGTCTGAACGACAGCAGCGAAAAATTAGAGCAGAACTACTGCATTATCATGACGATCAGATGCGAACAGCGGCGATAGTAAAATGTGAAATGCTTCTCGCCACTTTTCGACAAATATGACAAATTAAAGAAAAGCGAACCAGCCTGAAACGATTCATACCTTCCGTTTTCCGCTTTCAATTGAAATGCAATCACCATTTCGTTATGTGTGCAGATATTTGTGCGAGCAGCGCGAGTGCCGAAGCGACCGAGAATATTTTAATCCGTTGCCGAAAAATTGTCTTGAAATCCCATCGAAAGAATCAACTCTATAAAAATGAAATGAATGAGAGACACTCACAGACACACACACACAGCAAATTGAGCAATGAACAACGTGAGAATGGCAGAACGAAAGAGAAAAATCGTTTTGAGCACTTCGGAACTTTTGCACTTTACTATAATATTCCCGCTTGAATCTTCGAAAGGATTTCATTTCACGCAACGCGCTATATTCAAATGGTATGGCATCTCAGCTGAATGGAAGCAGTGGCAGCGGCAGCAGCAGTAGTAGCGTACAGAACAAGCATTTTTGGGATAAGAAGTAACAAAAAAGAGCCAGTTCTTAAGTCCAAAAAACCTACTGCCAAACGACGAGTACTATGGAAATGTGGGAAGCGTTGACGTTGCTATTGCCGACGGATAAAGACGGATCAAAACTATACTACTTCTTTTTTCCCAGCTTGTGCTTCTTTAATCCGAAAAAGCCACAAGAATTTCTATTTTCTACTTAAAAAGTTGGTTTTAATGAAAACATAAATTGGCCAATACACAAAGTTTTCCATTTTGCTGCAGATTCGGCTGCCGTTGCTGGTGCAGTACCGGGTGCGAATAGATGAGTGTGATGAGCAAGCGAACGAACGTGCATGTACCTCTGTCATTCCTATCTCCCTCTACCCTCTGTATGTTTGTGTATGCATTGAGTAATGTGCGGTTCTGTGTGCAGTTCTGGCTTAGCAATCCGATTGGGATAGACTTATGAACGTTTTTCCGGTTGTTTTACTTAATATTTTAATAAAAATATTTTTAAGGCTTCATTATATTCGGTGCGCTGGTATTTGGAACAAGAGGAATTCTATCGATTCGTGCCAAAGGAATCACCGCCGTCGAGAGTGTTTGATGTCGCTGGAATCGTTGTTGACGTAAGTTTTCCTCCTCATCCACTACTTGAATATTATTATTATTGCTTAGCTCCAGAGAACTTATTTACATTCAACAGATTTATTTTCGATTACAAATATCTATCTTCGCATTGAATGAATTTGATCGAAGTTTAAGTTGTATGGTCGATGGGTGGAGAAGAAGAGCGCACCTCACTGTGTTTAGGTCAACCTGAAGCACCAAAAACTAAATTTTCAATTGAACTTTACAACTCTATTTAATGAAAACTCAACGATAATGTTCCGCAAATCGAATAGTTTAGCATGACGAATATGGATCATGTGCAAATTGACTTGCCAATGTACTCAAAAGTTAACAATAACAACAAAAACAACTAACCGTATTACACTCTCGACCGAACACGAATCGTCGAAGATTTATTGAGCGAAAAACAAAGAAAAAAAAATGAAAGAATGGATTGCGCTTCAGATAAATTATTATATATGCTTTTTTTGGTTCTGCTGTCGAAAACAAAGAATAACAAGAAAAAAACAAAAACAATAATCATAAAAATAATAATAAAGCACCAATCTTGAACGTAGACACATTGCAGCCCTGTTGAGATATGGCTAAAAGATACAGGCAAGTGGAAAAGTTAGAAGATCGAAACAAAAGTAGGGGAAAAAACACAAAAACACAAAGAAGAAAACAAAACGAAGAAGAAGAAGAAGGAAAACGCCGAAAAAATTAGCTTAACTCAGCGCAAATGTTTGCTTCGCTTTGCTTGTATAAATTCAGTTACCAGAAATTTATTTAGACTACTAGAAATTATGTATATTATGAAACTTCCTGTAATTTAATTTTTCGTCCGGTATATGCAAAAATTTCCATAACTTAGCCGAGTAGAAATTTTCACATGTACATGGCATAACGCGTTCGATGCGCACAGTTTACATCACCACCGCTGCCACCACTACCAACCAACCCATTTAAAGAGCGGGAACGATGGATCTTTCGCACTGCAGGCAGTGTTCCGTGCTGACATTGGCACGGGAGCAGCTCAGTGGCTAGGGCCACGCAAGATGTAGAACCGTAAAAAGAGTGCAATGAGCTAGCGAACAGGAGGAATGGTGGCGGTAGAGGGGTGGAAACAAGAACAGCAGAATAGCATAGACAAAGGAAACGCACAACACACGAGCTGCTCGAATTTTTTCCGTTTTTCTTTCTTCTCTTCTTTTAATTCACATTTTGGTAGTCGCTCTTGCCTGTTGACGACGTTTCTTGAGAAAGTAGAAAAATTGTTCGGGGGAAAAGAACCGTAAAGCATCATAATATTACGATGGCTGCTAAAATTGAATGAAAAAAAAAGATTTGGTAAAACCACGTAAAGAGTATGACAATGTATGTGTTGGATAAATAAAGAAGAGCTAAACCAAAAATCAAATGGAAAGGGGAAGAATCGCGCGTTAAACGCAAGACTTCATTTTGCATTGTATGCAACATAGCCCGTGATTGCGCGCTTGCACATACACATACACACATACATATACAAAAACAAACTTGACAAACTTTAATATTAATGATAATCTTCTTGTACGTTATGCTTATGGGTAACAGCCAAAAATTGCCAAAAAACCGGGATAGAGCGAAAAAAAATGTACACGAACTCGCACTCGCGCGAACGTTTACAAGAAGAAGAAGAAGAAGAAAAATTCCGAACGCCATGTACATCATAATGACTTTTATTATTATATGACGAGCCAAAATATTCCAAGTATGAGCGATGGCCGGAGGATAACTTGGAAAGTGGTCCAAACGCAGTGTATTCAAATGTGCACATGAAATACATACAGTTAAAATGTGTATATCGACATCTAGCTGGGAGAATATCGGAATTAAAAATGAAAATCAGCAGCAACGGGAGGAAAAAGCGAAAAGTTTGGGCCAGATTGATTTCCACTCGAGAGAGATTTTCAATCGACAAACAATTAATAACAACAATTTCGGCAGTCATTTTTGATTTGATTAAATTCCCATCGATTGCATGCACCGGGCGGCTGTTTTAATTTTGCTAACTTTTAACTTTCGGATGAGAAGTGAAGCCCAAATTGGTTTTGAGCGCAAATGGCGTATAAAATAGGGCCATATGAGTAATGAACGAAAATTGGAAGGCTTGATTCAATCGATTTGGCCCAAATCATTTGGGGCAGCGAACGGTAGAGCAATATTCAAATGTGTCAGAAAATTGGGTTCTTTTGACTTGAGATCAACTACAAAGAGTAGTTTGATACATTATCAATCGGTTTTGTGAGCGATTTGACGTCACAAAGAACCATTATATGATGCAATTCCAACCGAACACAATCACTGTATCATCAGATCGAATGAGATTAAATTGTGATTTATCTTAATATTATCGAAAATAGATCGAGGAGCCAAAAACATCACATGCGTTTGGTGTGTGTGTGTGTGTGTGTGATGAGATGCTTTGTTCAAGCGTTCATCAGCATCACAAATAGAGTGTAGAGTAATTTAGTTGTTGGCTAGAACTGAAAATGCTTTAAATGAATTTTGATCTGCACCTTGTCACACGATTGGAATTGAGCGTGTGTGTGTGCTGAGCCACTGAAATCAGTATGGGTGCCGTGCCCAGCACTTGCACGATGGTTCCAAATTGAGCGCATCGCATTTCACACATATCCGAACAACGCGCTAGTATTCGAAATAGGCTAAACGTCAAGCACATGGAAATAGCAAATTTGCAAATGAATAGAATCACGATTAAATAACACCAAGAGATTTTGCAGCAATGTGATGAATAACGTTGACGCTGCACGGCATCGGCGACTTCGATAACAGCATCCATTCTATGAAGATTACAACGTCAAATATCAATGATTGTTGCGATGAGCTTGTGTGTGTGATTCAGGAGTGTACATGCGGAGAGAGACTTAGTCAATGCCGAAATGTGATGAATAAATTTCTTATTGGAAGATTATATGCATGTGCTCTTTTCATCGGGTCGAAAAGGCAGAGAGAAAGAGAGAGCAAGCGACCGAAGCCACTCTCACTCCTGTCGGCAGAATCGTATGTTATGTTCGAATCACATGCTTCATCGCATGTTGATCTTCACGCTGCTTACGGCATGTTTCTAAATTGAAAATCAAAGTTACTTAAGATACATCAAACAAGACACACAGCCAAAGGTTTTGTGTACTTTAGATTCACTCTCTCTCTCTCTCTCTCTCCCCCTCCTCCACTCTTGCTCCATCGCTGTTGTTGGCATAATTGGTGCGTGTGTGTAACATATCACATCGTCTCGACAACCAGCCTATATTTTGATTCTCCCAGTCTCCATGTGTGCCTGCCTGCCTGCCTGCTTTTGCCTTCAACCACTTTGCAAATTTATAAACAAAATCCGATGAGACTTTGATTAATAGCCGAATATCACGGCAAGCTCAACTAAATTGCCGTATGCAAAGTGCACAATTGCCAAAAATGATTGGCACCATGCATTTGGTACAATCGAATGGCGGCTCTCAAAGACTATCTCCAATCGTATTTAAGTAGCAATAACAAATATCATCTTTTTGTTCTCAATCTCAATCAAGTTATGCAGGTTAGCAGACTAAACAGAGAATGGGTGTGTATGTGTGCAAAAAACGTCCATGCGACGAAGCGGGGGAAAAAAGATCGCACGAGCCAACTTCTTATTTCAACGACAAAATTATTTTCCTCGAAACCATTTTGTTCGTTCTCTCTCTCTCTCTCTCCCCATTTCGCTTTTTTCCTATTTACAGTTGTGCATGTCTTTGATTTCGCCAGCTTCATGCAAACAATTCACGTTGCTCCATGAAATATTTTGATTTTCAATAAGAGCTTTTTTTCCTCCTAATGTCTAGGCCTCACTTGCTCTCTCGGGTTTGCTTACTCAGCTCACAAATTCATCATACAAACTGCTTGCTGGTAGGATACGACTGCACAGAAAGTGTGTACACGAATCGCTGTCCTCCGCTGCTATATCCCACATTATCATCAACATTCAATTCAATTATGTAAATTTGACCATAGAAAATGTGAGTTTTGAACATTATTGCGGTACAAAAACCAAAAGGACCTGTCCGTTTACACATCCATTCACATAAAATGCTCCGCTTTCGCTTCGATCACGGAACATGAAATGCCAATGTAGGAGAGAAGAAAAAAACAACATCACCATCACGGATAGAAACAGACGAGAGAAAAAAAACATATCGTACCGACAAACTCACTACGTTGTAGATGGAATTTTGTGTGCAGATGAAAGCGAGTTGAAAATGAGAGTTGTGTTATTAGTACTGCGTCGGTCACTGACAAAATTTATAAATATGTATAAAATATTCGTGATTGTTGCACGTACTCATTTGGGAGCTTCATCAGCGAATCATTTTGATTTGTTTCGTTGATGAACAACCACGTGCTCAAAAGTCCATTGTTTCAACACTGAACTGTTCATTCATTACGGTTTTTGTGTGCATATACTGTATCAGATACATTGGAGTTCCAAGACAGATAGCAAAAAATCACCGTTCGCTCACGCTCCGGCTCGCTCATTTGCACTTTCTCTCGCTTACACACTCTTTCGAATGGATTGAGTAACACTGTGTCGGCAGGTGCCGAGACAAAACAATCCATCTCTGTGTTCCACTCTGTTTCGTGCAGCAAATTAAATGAAAATAATGAAGGAAAACACCTTATCGCACAGTCCAATCTAATGCATGGGATTCGCTGCGCGCGCGCACGCACGCATTTTCAATCCACTTTTTTCCTGTTCTTGTCGCACATTTTTTCCTTTTTCATTCAATTTCCATGAATTAATTCAATTATTTCAAATTAGAATCGGGAAAAAGCATGGGAAAAAGTACATGCAAAAATAAACTTTCGCTTTCAATTAACAAAATAAGAGAGTGCTGTGTGTGTTTTTCCATATTCCATACTCCTGCTGGTATCGGTTATTATTAAAATGCAAATAATTTTTCCAAATAATAATTCATACACATAAAACGTATGTATTTGTCACGTATACAAAATGGGTAAAATATTATTAGCGTGATTTTAAATCATGAACACATGGTGCGAACATACAATTTTAAGGGGATGTTTTCATCCATTATCTTTTGCTTGCGTAAATTAATCCACATTGAATTTTCACGACAAAACAAGGTGTTAACAAAAATCAAACGCAAATAATGTTGAGAGTGTGCCGAAGTGAATGGATCATAAATACATCGATATATGTACATATATGGGCCGCTCTCAACAAGCTCCAAATTTTGACATGACATTTTCACTGAAAAAGAGGAATGGGATGCGGATTTCGTTGTTGTTGTTGTTGTTGTTCCTGCTGCTTTTTCTGAATAATTTCGCTTTGGCTTGTGTTCTTTCGCAATTATGTCACACAAGTGATTGACGAGTTGAAAAACCAAATGTACGTACATAACGGCAGATTGATATTCATTTTGATTTGTTCTATTTACATACACACGCACACCATCCAGTTGACGAAATCCAGCGAGCACACGGTGACATTACGCTCGGTACCACGAATTATCTCCGGAACGTATCAATGTGAAGTGTCGGCTGATGCGCCACTTTTTCACACGGAAACAAGTAAAGCAAAAATGCTTGTCGCTGAACTGCCGGCCCACCAGCCCGTGCTCTCCGTTTACAACGCTCCAAATAACAGTAAAAATGGCATTGCCATCGGTGAGTTATTGAAAGCGACTTGTGTTTCTGGCCCATCTTTTCCACCTGTCAATTTCACATGGACAGTGAATGGCAACATTCAGCCGGTGAGTATCGTTCTATCTAATGCCTTTCTCGTTCGATTTTGCATACAAAAAAAATAATACCAACAGCAAGAAAAAAACACGGCAGCAACAACCGTTCACTTGCGATTCAGTCATTTTGAATTGTTATTAAGCAGTATGTATTTTTTCCTCTCTTTCGTTTTGTTTTAATCTGTTTTTTTTCTATGTTTCTTCTGGTTTGTATTTCAGTCGAGCAATGTTGGTTTGCGACCCATTCAGGCCATCGAAAAAAATATCGTGCTACCGAATACCAACGATTCAGATTCGAATGCAAAGGAAGCCTGGTCGGACATGATTGCGCGTATCGACAATCACATGCTTAATTCGGACAATCGTAAGATTCTGGTGCGTTGTGAAACAAATATCTTCAATTTGTATCGTGGTACGGCCGAAGCTGAACTCAAAATAAGCGACGATTCAATTTGGATGCACGGTGCTAAAGTGAGCCCAACAACAGATCAACGCAGTAGTAGCAGCAGCAGCAGCAGCAGTAGTGGTGGCGGCAGCAGCAGCAGCGCATCCACAAAAAATGGCGATCCCGATAATTCAGCGCTACAGGCTGGCACCGGCCTTCGATTGAATACATCCTATTTTTTATTGCAACTAGTTTTTCTGCTTCTTATCACACCGGCCCTATCGTAAAAGTGGTGTCAGCATACGAAACACTGTAATAATGCACGACACAGAGAGAAAGACACCAACGGCCAGAGTGAGATGTATGTTAGGGTGGATGCGTGTGCGTGTGTCGGTCACACCTGGCATTTGACTCCCAAACAATTACACGACAAATAATTTATTTTGCTACACCGAATTCCAATTCATCTCCGACTTAATGCGAATACGAATTGCGAATATCAATTTCGAATGTCAGTTTTACCACCCAACACCACCAATGCCCGTTTGCCCGCACTTTGTCACCCGAAAGGCGATCTGATTCACTCACTCACTCCGAAAATCGCCGATCCTTATATTTTTCATATATTAAGAATAATAATGAAAAATAACGAATAAAATAAACTATTTAACCATTTATTTCATTTATTTGCTAGGATTGATGGCTAGAAATTTTTATTAAAATCCCTTAAGCGTAAGTTGTAAGTATGATATAAGTTAACTGTCACTGGAATCCCCCGATACAATTCTCGATATTACTTGATATATATACCTACATGAATGAATATGCATATAAAGATATATACATATATGTTGATGTTACCAAATGTCGTTTGTATTTATCGAACGGTGACTGATGTTGGAGCTCTTCAATCCAACGTTGGTAGACAATTGCAATGGAATAAATTAAAATAAATTTTTGCACATGAAATATGCAATTAAACATGCATAAAATACTTGACAAACAAAATTTCAATTCGCCGATGGAATTGTGTTCGTGTGGAGCGCGTCAGCCCATTCCATTGCCAAAATGACTGTAAATTAAATGACCGGAAAACATCGAAACATTGTCAGGTATGTCAGTGTAAAAAAAAATTGAACGGTAGGCCTCACATTTTTGGACAAGAAACGGTTTACCTGATGAAATGATTGTATGCGTGTTGTGTTTGTTCTGCGGATGATGAAAAGGCTCATACCAAAAATGAATGCAATGTCGAAAAAATTCTCCACGGGATTCAACTTCGTTTGCGACGTTTGCCATTCCATGGGCTGGCAGAACGGTGCAGTTGGTGCCGTTTCACCTTCATCACATCAATAACAAGTGATATTAATTAATTTATTTTTGAATGTTAAATGGCAATTTTGTGTACTCATTCTTTGCCAAAATATTAACTTTGATTTACCATTTCGGTGTTGCAAACGGAAAAGAAACCTTTTGGGAGGAGGCAGAGATGTATAAAATTGAGTATGAGGCGATTCCTTTCAATTTCAACTTTATCACCTCTTTAATAAATTATGTTGCGCACATAGTTTTCCCGGTTGGTCCGTTGGTCGTTCGATAGGCTGAATGATTGGTTGGTTGGTAGAAGCTGTTGCCTTTATTGACATACTCACTATCAAAATCACGCGCTTGTTCGCCCGCGCACACCAACCATATTGAGGCATAGTTAGCGCTGGATGAAGATTCTCCCTGCTTGCTCTGTTTGCTCACAATTATAAAGTTTTCTAAAGAGCTTATCTGTGAACGTCTGGAAACCGTATGGTGCGTTCTACTGCTGATGCTGCTGCCGTCGCTGCTTTGGCTGCTGTTTTGCAAAAGCGTCCCCAACTTTTGCTATAGACAAACATACATTTATCAACACATAAACTAAATGACGAGCCACACGAAAAGTTTCCAAGCAAATAAAACCTATTCGCCACACGTTATATTCATATTACTAGCATTCAAATATCGACTATATGGCAAGATTTTTTGGCCATAATGTTCTGGTTGCCTCTCATCGATCTATTTCGAAAGTTAAATTTAGTTCTCCTCTCTTTTGACTTTTCTTCTTTGGCTTTTCTCTCTCTCCCTCTCTCTCTCTCCTTTTCTCTGCTCCTGTACACGATTTGCAATCTCTGGCTTCTTCATTCTTTTGCTCTTTTTTTCCCTCTCTTCCTCATCAGCCATGTAATTTCGTTTGGCTATGTCTGCAATGCATTTCGCCATGAGCACAGAAATCGTTTTTTTTTTTGCTTCTTTCTACTACCACTACCGCTTTTTCTTAATGTATGGTGACCTGAAGTGATGGCATCTCAATGTGTAAAACAGTTCATATATCTCTATTCCACGTTTTACGTTACACATTCCACATTATCACTATGAGCGTTACCGTTGTCGGTTTGTCTATTGCAACGTGTAAAATACTGAGGTTGAGAAAGTTCACAAAGTCAATGGGAATACTTTTCACGCTCATACAAGGAACCCGTACAAATGGCCATGTTCAAGCTCAATAATACATCCGCAAGCTAAACACACACACACACGCGCGCATATATAAAACAAACTGACAGAGGAAAACTAACGCAGAGGAAAGATGGGATGGGAAGCAACAGCGATGGCATATACACAATCAATTTAAGATAAATAAGAAACGATTCGATTCATCATGTGTACAACTCCATTAAAATGCGTTGGAGAATCGTATATTTCAAATAAATGAATATGAATTTGTGTTACGATTTAGATGTCCAAAATGTTGATTCGAAATTCCCTGTGTTGGATAAATAGATGTATGTGTGTTGTTTGTGTCCACGTCCAGTGTGTTGTTGCAACACTGCCACAACATACAAGTGTGAAAAGGGAAAGAAAAAAAAACATACAAAACATCCCCCGAAAAATAACTCTCCATAGTGATTCTAGTAATAGCTTTACGTTTAAAGTTCGGGGCCCGATATCGCACCGTCGATAAGCGTTCTCCACACTGATCGAGCAGGAAAGACACATACACACACACACACAGAAAGAGAGAGAGAGAGAAGGAGAGAGAGATACCGACACATACGAGCGACGAGACAGCACTGGAAGAAAATAGTATGAGAGAGATGGTGATGGTAGAGGAAATCAGTTCGAGAAAGTCATAGAGTATAGATTTTAAGTTGGTCATCCCAATCACTTGGCGGTAGTTGCATCGTATGCCCGATGCCAAATACAGATATATATACATATACATAATATTAATTTTAAGAAAGTTTCAATTCACATGGTCATTGGTTAAAAATCGTTTGCCACCGGACCGAACTCTGAAACATTACGATTGAACTAAACTATATGTTTGTATAGATTGCTATATATGCTCGACTTGAACTCAATTGTATGTGTGATGCATATTTCCAAAAGTATTATTACTATAGAACTGCTGTGTACGTTTTGCGCCCTCCTCCGAATACAGTTAGATGAAAATTAAAAGTTTTCGGCAGCAACAAAACATTCCCGAACAACTGAAAGACGAACTAGCTAGGCTTCCATTTTTTTGCCATCGCCCAACATTCGGATTTTCACAATACACGAAGCAAAATCGTCGACCGAAAATATTTTTCTGTTTTTGATTTCGATTTCAATTGTGTCAAACGGAAGCCAGCACTAAGCCGAATTCAATGCTTTAAAATTAAAATCACTTTGCATTTACAGCTATTAAATGGAAATTGAGTCATTTGAATCTTTTGGCGTGTTTCAATCTAGTTATAATTAGAGCAAAATAGTTTAAATTCTATGGCTATAATAACATAGTACACACATCGATCCGAATTACCGGTATCAAAATTATATGGAGAATTTCAATCAAACACATTTGGAAACAGTAGGTTGTGGCAACAATAAACGGTACCCATATATACACACACCCACAAAAAAGACACACAAAAACACACAGACATTCTCAGTTCACTATAAAATTGTACATTGCTGATATGAATTCATATGAAAACCGCAATTGAAATTATGGCATCCAGACAACAGCAATTCAAATAATTTCGATTGTTTTTAAAACATAATAGAAAATTAATTAAAATTAATAGCGATTAATTTCAATGAAATCAAATTGATTTGAAATGGAATTTTCGCCGCAACAAATTTTGCTCACTGGATCTCTAATCCGCACTGAGATGGTCAATTATAGTAGTGGAACTTTTGTTTATGTTTCTGGTTTTGTTCATTTTGGTTTCAATAACAGCAACAACAAAATGAGCATAAATAAAATAAGGATTATTCAATTTACGTTAAGATTTCCGTAGATGAAGATAATTTAGCACACCGGCAATAAATTCATAAAATTGATGGTCATAAATCTTTGAGTTCCTCTGCATTAAGAGTCGTATTTTACCTCATTTATCTACTAAACATACACGAAGGGAAAATAACCCAATAAACACTCACAGACAAACACACACACACAGGAATGCAAAATACAGCGCGAATTTAGTGGTCTATCGCGTGATTTAAAATATAAACTAACCATACAATTTATGAAATGAAATGAAATGCAAAATTTGACAATATTTAAGGAAATTAGGAAATTACAACTTACTCAAATGGCATTCGTTAAGGATACAAACCTACAAATACAAATGGATAAATGATAACCCAAAAAAAAAATACAGAATGATACGTAAAATTAATAAATACGAACGCATGGAATTAAACTTATACATTATTATCTTCCGACACACACAAACACACACACACACAAAAAGAATAAATAAACCAATAAAAAAAAACGAAATGAGAAATGTGTTGATTTATTTGCTCTTTTGTTCATTTTAAAGGAGCTCCATATTTGGATTAGATTTGCTTGATTGAAAGAGCAGGTAAGTGTTGCAAATAGCACAACAATCAACATCGTTTCCGAGTGTTTTGTCCAAAAGGTAAGAAAATTGGTCCCGTGCGTAATTGTTGTTTACATTTTGTCCGTCACATTAATACTTGATAGCATTCAAATAGCTTCGGAAAATGATTTTGGAGTTTGCCGAAAGGCTTATGAAATCCATAGAACATCAATCCTTTAAGCACTGCGAAAATAAACAGACATACACGCCGCTTTCGGTGGTAAATAAAGTCTCACACAGATCCCTATGGAGATTAAGTGCATAGAATGTAAACAACAGCCGTGCGTAAATAATTCGAACGAGACGACAATCCGTTGTTGTTGATGTTGTCAACGAAATCAACGAATAACAATCTTTGCTAGCGTGCACGCAGCTCTGACGAAAAACCACACATGTTCTGGACACAATGGGAAACCAATTTCACAATGACACATGCATTTTCAGCTTGTTGCTATGCACCAGCCATGCTTTAAAGCGGTGAAAATGCGCCGAGAGTCCGCTCACTTTCACAACACATACACACACACACACTCATGCCGCGCGCGCTGCACAATCACCTCAATACCCCAAATAAGCAAAACAACAGTATAACAAGTGAAAAGGGAAGAAAAGAAAATTCCCGATTGAAAACGCCGAATACGCGTATTATCCATCCGTTGACTCATTCACCGAATCGTCGTGTGTTTTCTGTATTCCCATAGAAACCGTTGACAAACATATCGTTTTATGTGCTGTTGTTTGGTGCGGCCGTCAAATCAGTTATCCATTTGAGCATTTTAGCAAAGTGGGTCGTTCGTTCGGCCAAATAATAAAACGACAAATATTTAGTTTGAATTGTTCGCTGCGTGCAATAAATTCGTGGGACAAATGAGTAGCAATAAAATCAAATTCATTTTAAATACCTCGGGTAAGAATTGTATTTTTTTCAGTCCACTCTCTCTCTCTCTCTCTCTTTCTCTCTCTCTCTCTTTTTCACTGCTGTGTGTTCTGCTTTTATTGTTTTTCATTTTCAATTTTGACTTGAGAGCGCAGACAAAAAATTAACGTAAATGTAAAATCAGCATTTCAGCAAGTTGGATTGCATCGTATGCACAAATGTGGATTTTCATATTTGCCTAGATGGTTTTGTTTGTTTGTTTCGTTCTCTTTTTTATTCAAACCGCGCTCGGTTTGTGTATTCATTTCACCTCTTTGCTGTATGCTGTTGCTTTTGGCATGCCAAAACTATTTTGTAGCCGAGTTGAGAGGAATAATAAGGAAAATAACTGCAAAATAAACAACGATAAAAACAAAAATAAAATACTGCTAACACTTTTATGCAATGTATATATATTTTATCCATCTTCCTCTCTTTCTCTCTCTCTCTCTCTTTTTCTCTATTTCAGTCGATTATTTTTCACTGCATGGAAAAAATAATACGTATGATGATTTGCCGATAAGAGAATTTCTCGAAAGCAACGAACTAACGGTGTTGGCAGCCATAAATCATGGCGATAAACTGATTTTCAACCACAGTATAACCGAAGATGAAAATTGTTTAGTTTTCTACAAAATTCCACAAATCGGCAACAACACAACGGCAGTTGCACGGCAATCGAGCACTGACGATGACAACGCTACCGTATTTCCATTGGGTATACTGACGCTGGAAGGTGGTTTGGCTAAATCTATTTATAATTCGATATCAAGAGTCTATTCACCGTATGTTGCCAAGGTAAATTAACAACTTAGAACCGAACACTGGGTGGTTGTTGGTGTTGTTGCTGCTGCTGCTACTGCTACTTCTACTGCCACTGCATGTGTGATTTGATGTTCTTATCTGTATCTCATTGGCTGTTATTTCAATATTCATTGACATTCTTCTATCGTCGGCGACGGTGTCGTCGTCGTCGTCGTCCTCGGCGGCAGTGACTCGTATATTCTTTCGGCGTTCAATGAGCCACTTACAAGTGGAAATGAACAGCCGGAAAAGTGCACTTTTTCAAATCGAATTTGCAATGATCCTATATATGTAAAAATGCCAACATTACGGGGCTTTGGCCTTTTTTTCCGTTTCGTTCTTAGAAAATTCAATATCCAGCTGATCTGGAAGTGCTTATCGAAAATTTACATTCGAAGTTGGGTTCAACACTTGGTTTGCCTCAATCAAGTAAGAGAATGCATAAAATACCATTAAACACATACATACAGACACACACACATAACCATGTGCGCTATGGTTGTCCTTCTTTCTCTCTTTTCTGTTTGCGATAGGTATTCACTCGATTCAACATGAAATAAATTTTTGGAGCGAAAAGTCCCGAAATGCATCGGCCAAATCGGATAAAGAAGCGGCAAACGTGTTTTCGATCGCTATTGACAAGCTGAATCAACTGCTCAGGTTAATGAAATACATTTCATTACATTTTTCGGAGGCGGGTGAGAAGCGAGCGAACGAATGAGTCGCTGCTTCGAATCGCCGGCAATGATGGTTTTAACCCGTTTGACTGACACGTATTTGAAATGCGAACACAATTTTGCAGAAACGTTGCCACTATCAATTCACTCGAAGAATTCCTGGACAGCATCCATACTCAACTGGATGAATTATGGCGACTACCGCAAAACTATCCGCAAAATCGAATGATTGATCTAATGGATATTATTTGTAGGTTTTCGCTCTCATCCCTTTCTCTCACTCACTTACGCAAGATAACAATTCAAATCTATTCCCTTTTACCCGTTTTCGTCTTCGTCCACCTCTTGTTGGTTGCTGTACACACAGCGCTCAACGTTACGGAATTTTGCTCGGATCGGCTCAACGAAATTGATGATGTTTGGGATGTCAAATCGTTGCATGTGTTTCAAACATTGAATGATATTATCGAGGTGATTGAGTCTTGGATACAAGTGTGCGACTCGCTAACGCGATTATTTTGGCCGAATTACTCTCGACACGCCTGGATTGGTGGCCCGCATATACCGAAAACAGCAACGCAACACTTGAAACGACTAGAGGATATTCAAGCCATTCGCAATGTTTACAAGGAAATCGTGTGTTTATTCAACGAAATCAATCAGATAGACAAAAGCGTTCGACGGATATTCATTCCATTCAGAGGTTCGTTTTTGATTGATTTCTAATTCACGAAAACCAGGCCAAACATGCACTAATACACTCATACACACACAAAAAACGAGCGCACAAGCACAAACATTCGATCAATTGCATTGTGTCCTCTTTTATTTTTGGCTAGATATCGTTATTTCTGACATCAGCACCATCGGTGAGAAAAAATGGAAACGAGCCATGGAAAAGTATGAACAAATTCTTGAACCGATTTACGAAAAAATCTCCATGATATTGAAATCGAAGCTACACACTCACCTGGATGAGCCCACCGAAATCATACACATTTTTCTCAAATATGAAACAATTCTGAAGAGTGCCGATATCATGGAATTGCTGTCGGCCGAACGGCAACATTTCTTGCAATCACTTTATAAATTGATGAAAGAGCTCAAGGAATTGTTGGCCGAACCAAAAAAATGTCCGGAGGATTCGGAAATTTCCGCACTTTGTTGGGAAACCAAAGAATTGAAACTATTTCAAAATGAAGTATGATCAAAATTACACCGAATCTTGAGCGGATAGTTTCGAATGATTTATTCTTTTTTATTCGCAATGGCAGCTGAATCAAATAGAAAAAGTGCTATTCGTGGTTGTCGATGTCGATGGATATGATACGATCAAAAAATCATTGGACGCTTTAAGGGAAGAAACGGACAAATGGTTGAAATCCAATTTTGAACAGTGGCGCGATGATTCTTTGGCATCAATATCAATGGGTGATTTAATGTGTGTAATTTCTTTTCGTAATTCTTCAAACAAATCTGTTTCAAATGTTTGATATTTTACTCGGCAGCTTAAAAGATGACAAGCCGGTGGTGGAGTTCGAAAAAGATGGTCGTCAGCTGATGCAAGTGACGTTCAAACCGAAATTGGTGATGTTTTGCAGCGATGTACGTGAATTTGAAGACCTCGGCTTTCGCATTCCAATTGAATTGAGAAACACAGCGATGCATGCAATTAAATTTATGGGCTACGCACGAAAATTACAACAAATTGCCACATTTCATAATACAATCGGCGATCGAATGATACCGTGTGTTCGGCCAATTATGTTGCAAAGTGCTTTGAAATTATCGAATTTAGTTCGGAGCGAATCGGTTGCATGGAACGACGAAAATTCAGTGGAACGTTATGTGTCAACACTGCAAGTTGCCGTGAATAATCTGTCTCGTGATAACAATTTGCTCACCGAGTACCATGAAAAGACGAAAATAATTGTGAGGCTAATTTGCATGAGTGATTTTGCAGCCAAAATGTCACACACACACACAACTCATAATGGTAATTTTGTTTTGAAATTAGGTCATGCGATTAATGAACACTGACTTGCTGCGTCAAAACGATGTATGGAGAGATGAAATGAAGAACCTACGAAACATTGTCACAACGCTGGAAACAAAGGGCTATACAAATTTGCAAGCGTTCAAAATTCATTGGGATCATCAGCTGTACAAAGTGTTAGAGTACCAGTATTTAATTGGCATTTCCGATTTGAGCCATCGTCTGCCCGATATTAACATTGACATTGTGTTCAGACAGCAAGAGATTCAATATCGTCCGACAATGGAAGAAATACGTTCCATGTACTACTCACAACTGAGACGATTCATCGAAAGACCACTCACATTCAAGGGGCTTTCCGATCAAAGCACAAACATTTTCAAAGTTATGGTTGATATGTAAGTTTTGGGAACGAAATAGTTCCAATGAAATGTTCAATGCACTCATGAGAAATCGATATTTGCAGCAATCGGGATCGCTTTGCAGCACTTTATGACAAAGCTGAAACGTTATTCAAGCAATTGATTGAATTTCAAGCAGCCTGGCGACCGTTTGTCATTCTGGGCTGTGTGAATTTGGAAGATTTATGCGAAATTTATTTGAAGTCCAGAGATGATTGGGACAAGAATTTCAAAGCTTGCAAACAATTCAGTCAACAAATTGCTAAAATTCCAGGGTATGAACGATTCATTTCATGTGGTTATCAATATACTATCATTATTAAAAGCTCAACCACATAGTTGAAAAACAAGCAAAATACTTGAATAAATCAGCAAATGAAACTCATTTCAGAACTGAGAGTCGAATTGACTGTTTCGTAATCAATACGTCACCGATTCGATCGGATATTGAGTTCATTAGCCGTAAATATTGGGAAACACTGACATACAGTTTGCGTTCATCAATTTTGAAGGATTTGACCACGCTTCAAGACTTTTTGAATAGATCGTCACAAGTTTTGCAAACGGTTGCCGTGACAGAAGAGCAATATATTGAAGAGTCAGCATTGAAATGCGAACAAATTGTTGGTGAATTAATAGCGGTAAGAGGTTTCATTTCTTTCAACGACGTAAAATAATTTTCATAATGAGTAATTTTCTTCTTCGAATTTTTTTTTATATTCACTTTTTGTCAATTACACATAATCATTTGATGCCTTTATACTTCCGAAGCATCTAAAAATTGTTCCTTTATTTTTCAGATGGAACAAATTTTAAATTCAGTACAGGCGAAGGACTCATGTTTGGCTGGTTGGTGTCGTGAGCGAGTGAGTGCGTTGAATGGGATATTGAATCAATGGGAACAACTGCAGCCGTTGATTGATAACCACAGTGCAACTTTGCGAGTGCAAATTGATGTCTTGAAGAATCAGGTTGAAGTGCAAATGACTAATTTGAAGGATGAGATCGAAAAGTTTGAGATTCGTTGGGATTCAACCATAGCCGAATTGGAGCAAAATGAAGAAGCCAACTTGGAATTATTCAAAGATCGTTTACGCGGTTGGCTTGCGATTGAAGAGCAAAAGGAGAAATTGGAAAGCAGTTGTAAAAAGTATAATATGACATTTTCGCAAGAAATTTCCGATATTTTTGACAAAATAACGTTGGACATCGAGAGTCAAGGACAACAATGGAAAGATTTTGAGCAGTTTTTGAGTGAATATGAAAATATTTGCGGTGAAGAATGGACGGTTTACCGAAGAAGGCCGTATATTTTGACGGATTTCATGTCGAAATGGTTGGGCAAAACGAGCGCAACAAATGATCAAAAAATTGCCACCAAAAGAATCAACAAAATTTTGGACAGTCTTCAAACAGCATCGCCCGTTTTACAAACGCTCCAAAGCGATGGATTGACAGAAAAGCATTGGGCGAAAATTTTCCACCTTATGAACAAACCATACAAACCATTTCACGATATTACACTCAAAGACATACTGAGCGATTTGGATATGTTGGAGAAAAATGCGGGCGAAATTCAACAACTAGTGAGAAAAGCCGCTTCAGAGCAAATTGTACGTCAAGCTTTAGGTGAATTGGATCAGTGGGGAGTTCAAGCCGAGCTGAAAACATTCCATCACACTGATTCGTTGGGAAATAATGTTACACTTATCAAAGAATTTCAAGAAGTTCAAAATAAGGTAGAAACGTTCATTCGATTGACTAATTTTTTTTTTTATAAATAAATTTACCATTTGCTATAGGTTGGTGATAATCAATGCCTGCTACAATCTGCGAAAAACTCATCGGCATACGATTCGTATGCTGATCAAGCTGACATTTGGGAATCGCGTCTCGCTTCAATTGACCATATTTTAACAAGTTTAAGTCAAATCCAACGAAAGTAAGTCCAGTTTATTTCCAAATTTTATGAATCGAATGACAAACATTTCCATTTCTTGCAGATGGATTTATTTGGAGCCAATTTTCGGCACCGAAAATCCCCTTTCCGAAGGTGCAGCATTCAAGCAAATCAATAAAGATTTCCGTTATATCATGAAGGAAATTGCGAGCGATCCACGAGTTTTATCGTTGGTTAAAATTCATGGTATAACTAATATCATTGATTCGCTCGAAAATCAACTGAATCGATGCCAAAGCACATTGACAGCTTTTATAAATGTATGTACTGCATTTGACGTGTCCACTGTCGGCCATTCGATTTCGGACTGGTTTATCACAATTTATTTTATTTTTTTCCAATTCGTAGACAAAACGCAATGCATTTCCACGGTTTTATTTCCTCAGTGATGATGATTTGTTGGAATTGCTCGGTCAATCGACGAAAGAGCCAATCATTCAAAAGCACATAAAAAAACTATTCCCCGGAATCAATCGCTTGAAAATCGATCAAAAAAGTGGTTCGGCATCGATAATGAAACTAGTGAGTGCGGAAAATGAAGAGGTGAAATTATTGGAGCCCCTTTCAATGGTTGGTCCAATTGAAATATGGCTAAGCCATTTGCTCAAGCAAATCAAAATTACGTTAATCGATTTGATTGTGCGATGCTGTCAAACGGATAAATTCACCATTGACGTGATAAAATCGTATCCGGAACAAGTGCTTTGCCTGGCCCGATCCATTCAATTCACAAAACAAACGGAAAAAGCGATTAGTGCGATGAATCTTCAAGTGCATTTAAAATCGATTAAAAATGACATTGTTTACTATACCACGAACATTGCAAAGGACGTGGATATGTTAACGAAAATCAAAGTGCGTTCCATTTTATTGGATTTGGTGCATCAGGCGACCATTGTGCAACAATTAATCGACGAAAATGTTACGAATGTTTTGGATTGGGGTTGGATGCAACAGATGAAATTCTTTTTGAATTCCAGCACCAAAATGGTGAACGTGAAAATGGTTTCGGCCGAATTTGAGTATTCCTACGAATATTTGGGCAATGTGAATCGTTTGGTCGACACAAAACTCACCCACAACTGCTATTTAACATTGACACAAGCAATGCAGCTGGGCTTGGGTGGAAATCCATTTGGACCGGCAGGTAATGCATTTGCGTTTGTTTGTTTTTTAATTTCCCTCATGCATTTCGGATTGATGTCAATATTTTACTGTCGCAGGAACGGGTAAAACTGAATGTGTAAAGTCTTTGGGCGCAATGTTGGGTAGATTAGTGCTTGTGTTCAATTGCAGTGAGGTAAACAAACCAATGATGATTCAATTATTATTCATTAAATGAGTTTTTTTTTCAACAAGAAAAAAACATAGTCTTGCAAGTTGTTGCAAACGAGAAATCAAAGTTTAAGTTACGAAAAACTGACGGTTTGATTCCGAATCATTGCAGAATGTTGATGTAACCGCAATCAGTTTAATTCTGGCCGGTTTAGCCAGATGCGGAGCGTTTGGTTGCTTTGATGAATTCAATCGTTTGCAAGAGGCAACATTATCCGTTCTTTCGATGATTATTCAACCAATTCAAACGGCCATTCAGCAGAAAAGTGATACGGTCACGATTTTTGATGAAAAAGTATGCTTTGTTTGTTTATCAAACGGTGATTGATCTATGTCTGAGTAAACCGAATTTTTTTTTCTCTCCCTCTCTCTTTCTCTCTCTCTCTCTGTCCATTTCACTTTCTCTTTCGTCGTACTCTTATAAAGATACCGTTGAATTTGCACTGTGGTATTTTTGTGACACTAAATCCGGCTGGCGAGGCATATGGCGGCCGACAAACGTTGCCATCCAATTTGCAGGCACTATTTCGGCCGATAGTTATGCAACAGCCGGAACCAAAGGATATTGCCCGTGTTATCTTGTTTGTCGAGGGATTTGAGCATGCTGAAACAATTGGTGCGCGAATGGTGGAATTGTTTAACATGGCTAAAAAGATGCTCTCACCGCAATGCCATTACGAGTGGGGCTTACGTGAACTGAAAACGGTTTTGCTCGCCTGTGGCCGTTTTTTAAAACAAATACCGAACAAGCACCAGCAGCCACAGCCGCAGCAGCAACAACATGATAAAGACCTTGAGATGCGTTTGGCCGTTAATGCACTCCGTATGAACACTATGTCGAAATTAACAGCCAGCGATTGCAAGCGATTTGATATGCTAATTGGATATGTTTTTGCGAACACAACCATCGATAAGATGCAACAAAATGTTTTGCAGCAATCCATTGGGCAGGCGTTCGATCAGTTGAATTTGCAGCAAAATGAAAAACAATTGGAAAAGTGCTTACAGCTATATGAGCAATTGGAAAAGCGGATGGGTGTCGTTGTGCTAGGACCGCCAAACTGTGGAAAAACTACCATTATATCGCTATTGAAACAAGCCATTATGAACACCGGCAAAGTAATTAAAACTTATACGATTTCACCGAAATCGATGAGTCGGACACAGCTACTCGGCCACCTAGATCCGGATACGCGGCAATGGAATGATGGCACATTAACATCGGCTGCGATTGCTGTTAGTGAAGAAAATGCCGGTTTGTATCTCTATCCTATTTCCACGACGGAGCAACAGCGCGTTTCATCGCTCAATTCACATTTTGCATAAACGCTCGCGCTTTGATTTCATTTGCTAATTTGTTTATATCTTTTTTCGTTTTTTGAAACTTTGGTCGTGTGGGGCTCAGATGCAAGTTCATGGATCATATGCGATGGCGAAATTGATCCGGATTGGATTGAAGTATGTTTTCAATGGATGTCTGCTATAGTTGTCGTTGTTATTGACGTCGATTGTTAAACTAAATTCGTTTTTTTTTCTCTGTCATTCCATTTTAGGCGTTAAACTCGGTGTTGGATGACAACAAGTAAGTTGAATGATTCATATAGAATAGCAAAAAAAAGAGAAGCGAATCCATTACGTGAAACGATTTTAATGTGGGCAATGCTTTTGCGACAGACTTTTGACACTGCCATCCGGTTGGCGCATTCAGTTTGGTGACAATGTTAACTTTATTTTCGAAACGCACGATCTTATTCATGCGTCGCCGGCAACCATTTCCCGAATGGGAATTGTGAACTTAAGGTAACAATTTATCGAGAATGTGTTTTATTATCACTTTGATCCACATTTATAGCATACATTTCACATTTCACATTTCACATTCACACTCGAATTCGTTTCGATTCCATTTCAAGTGCATCCGATTTGTCCGAGCAAATAGTATTTGATTCATGGAGCATCAAGCAATCGAATCCAGATGTCTACGGGTCACTTATTCAACAGTATGTTGTCAAAGCGTTTGATTGGTTACAAAAGAAATCGATTGAGATATCGAGAATCGGAAACATTTGCAACATTCTGACGTATACGAGTGGTGTGCGATTGAAGGAAGACTTTTGTGTACGACTCATTTACTGCTTGGGCTATGCATTGGAGCCAAAGCATCAGAGTGAATTGGCAACAAAGGTTGTTCACCATTCGCAATCCTACAGTTTGAATATAATGAAATCGTACTCTAAATCCATTGTTTTCATTTCACTTTGCTTAGATATTGGAATGGGCAGACATTTATATCCCAAGTGGAAAGGAGGCAAAGTATTGTTTTTTCAACAAGTATCGCGAAGCGGTTGAATTGCACGAGTCCGATGGCATGGTCGAAATTGATTCAATCGATAATATAGCCAATTTTTTGATAAAAACAACCAAAATTAAAACATATTTGAATATTCTGAAAATTTATCTCGAAGAGGGCGTTCCATTTAACATTATTGGTCCGTCTGGATCAGGCACTAGGTATTCATTCTCTTTAATTTCTTTCAAAACAGTGTAAACAATCCATTCGTTTTATTTGCAGTCTTTTACTAAGAGCAGCCGTCGTAGATTTAGATAGTTATCAACTATTGACAATAAATTGCAGCTCTCAGCTAACTGCATCTTATGTTTTATACATGTTGAAACAGGTAACCTTTGAAAACTATCTCGAAATCATACTTTATTCAGCAAATTTCAATATACATTTAATTTTTTTTTCTCAATTGGACCCAATTTGCAGAACTCCATGGTTATATCAGGTTTAAAGGGTCGTGAATACAAGCCACATCTCAATAAAACGGTGCTATTTTTCAAAAATATCGATCTATGCAACTTCGATCAGTATGGTACTTGTGAAATTATGGAACTCATTGTTCAGCTCATTCGACGATCAGGTTTCTATACCGAATCACTGGAATGGATAAATGTGACCGACTTGATTATTTGTTGTTCAATGGTCAATATTCAAAAGCGCAACTTTTCACCACGGTTTTTATCAATAGTTCAGAATTTCCATGCCGAGTAAGTTTTCAATCAACAGATGTTTTTCCGGCTCAGTTACAATCTCACGGTGTGGTCGCTCAGCACAAATCTAAAATGGCTAAAAATATGTACTGATTATAAAGTTTATGAAAATACATCGACTATTCAAAGGGTTCTATTCGAAGTTGAAAACATATGACAACGGAAGTGTGTGCGAGAATTTTTTCACACAGTTTGTTCTAATAAACTTCATATGGGAATTTTTCGTCCCAAAAATTTACTACTATACCATTCCATTCCACAGTATAAAATCAATATCTAATTCTGGTCATTTTATGTTTGCGTTGATCGATTATTGCCATCGTCATATTATAACGAAGAGCAAATGCCAACTCTTTACGTAAACTTTGATTTTAATTAATCGATTATCGAATTGATTCAAATAAAAACATGTTGTCTTGGAAATGATTTTAAATTCTGTAGATTTCCAAACGACACTGAGCTTCATCTGATAATGAAAAATCAATTCTTGCCGATGAGTCTCCGTTTTAAGCCGGCTGTCAATTCCAGACGTATTGATCAAATTGTCGAATGCCTAATTGAAATATATAACGAGGTAAGCTTTATCATTCGAAGATTGTGTCGAATAAAAGGATGAAATTCAATTATTTTATCCCAAAAAAATCATAGATGAACAAAAACTTCACACGAGATCAACGGAATCATTACATTTTTACTCCAAAAATGCTGTCGCGGTTGATTGAAGGATTGAAATTTTACCCGGAGAACTTTTTCCAACAAGTATATTCGTTTGCCTATCATCACGGGAACTATAAATTTTGGTCATTATTTCCAAATCCAATTAACTCTTGTTTTTCTGAATTTCAGGCATTTTACAATGAGATGAAGTGTATTTTCCGTAATCGGCTCATTGCTGAGGAACATAAAGAGCAATTTGATCGAATTTTACATTCGACGAGTCGCACTCTGTTTGACGTGGATCAAACGAATTACTTTTTTGTGCCAAGTGGCAACCAGTCGACTGCGTTGCAGTATGTGATTCAACAGGATTGGACAGATATTGTTAAACGAAACATCACGATTTGCAGTGAGTTTATCATATTGGATGCAATATGGAAAGCAGTCATTAAAATGAAGTTTCAATTTCAGACACCGAAGACATCGTTTTGTACACCGTGGTCAATGATCTGCTTTTAGAGACAACCGCTTCCATTTGTCGCACTCTTTCACGATCCGAATCACATGTAGTGCTGGCCGGTCCAACCGGTTCATTGAAAATCGATGCTCTTCATATCGCTTGCAAATATTTAGGCATCAAAATTGCATCAATCACACCCGTGAAGAATTACAATATGAACGATTTTTATAATGACTTGAAATTGGTATTTATTGAGAAGATTCGCAAACCAAAACGATGACCGTGCAATTGATGGTTTTTCTTTTCAAACTAATTAATCAACAGGCAATGCAATCCGCTGCACTGGAAGAACATCATGTGACATTTTGTATTGAACATTCATGGATTTCTTATTTGCCCGAAATTATGAATCCGGTTGAGGCTGTGTTGGAAGGCAGTGAAATTCCCAATCTATTTGGTGATGATCTTGAGTCGTTGGCGAAACCATTGAAATCAATGGCACAACAGGAGGGTTTTCAAGAATCATTAAGCGCTTATTTTTGGTTTAGTACGTAGTTATTCTTAATTATTAGCACAGAGTGTTCTGCTTTTTAGCTATCGTCAATTCCCTCAAACATTGAGCTGAGATTTCTCAAGATTTCAAATTCATGTTAAGCTCAATTTTGATTTCAATTTTCTTTCCATAAAACATCTCAGGAATAAAGCAACGCCTTCACATTGTTCTTTGCTTGGAAAGTGAAAGTCATAACACTGATGAGCTGTTTGAGAGTTATCCATCGCTTTACAAATGCACTGACATCATTTGGATGGCGAGCACTGCAATTGCATCACCAGAATATGTGGCCAAAGAATTGACCGAAATGTTTTGCGGAGACTCAGTTCCAGCCCCAAAGCATTTGAATATACTTGAAATTTGCTCTACCGAATGGAACCAATCAGAATATCGTTTCCAAAATCTAATCTTCACCTACGGCACTTTGTACAGAGATATGTTGTTTAGTATACAAAAACAGCAAAATATTCTACAGGTAAATCAATTTAAATCGCTTCGTTTTCAATTTAAATCGCTTTCGTTATTTTGTCTAAGAAAAAAATTGTTTACTTAGGCTGGCGTTGACAAGCTTTCATCAGCTCATGAAGTAGTTCGGAGCTTGAAGCAAGAAGCCGAAAAGCAAGAAGTTGCCTTGGCTGAGAAGAGAGAAATGGCAAACAATGCACTGGAAATGATTGCAACGACTATGAAAAGCGCTACGAATCAAAAGAGTGATTTGCTTGAATTGAAAAATAAAGCCCAAGAAAATGAGGTACTGTTAAAGAATCGAAAAGAAGCCGTGGAGCTTGAGTTGCGTGAAGTTGAGCCGATGTTGCAAGAGGCAGTTTCAGCAGTGGGCCAAATCAAAACGGAAGCACTGTCCGAAATTCGGTCGCTGCGTGCTCCACCCGATATTATTCGTGACATTTTGGAGGGAGTTCTTCGGTTAATGGGAACACGTGATACGTCGTGGAATAGCATGAAATCGTTCCTTGCAAAACGTGGTGTCAAAGAAGACATTCGATCACTGAATCCATCTCGTATCAGCGTGGAAAATTGTAACGCAGTCGCAAAACTCATGAGCACAAAAGCAGAGTCGTTTGATGTAAAAAATGCGAAACGTGCCTCAGCTGCGGCTGCTCCGCTGGCCACATGGGTCATTGCAAATGTGAAATACTGCAAAGTGGTGCAAAGCATTAGGCCGCTGGAAGAAGAACAGGAACAGTTGCAGAAAAACTTACGCGAATCGGAAAACAATATGAAATTACTGAAGAGTGGCCTGGATGATGTCGATGCTCGCGTCAAAGAGCTGTCGATTCAACTAAATATTTATACTCAAGAAGCGGCTGTTCTAGAAGTTAAACTTGACACAGCCAGAAAGACACTTCAATCGGCCGAAGTGCTGGTGACTAAACTCAGTACTGAGTATGCCAATTGGAAGATGCAACTGCAAGATATCAACAAGAATATCGATCAAATCGAATTGAATTCATTCCTCATTGCATTATCAATCACACACTTATCACATCTTACTTTTGAAAATCGACAGTATGTAGCTAGTTCATTTAGTCGGAGCAAAAATACTTGAAATGGTCATTTTCTGCTCTGTTTTTTTTTCGTTCAAGGGAAATGATGGCGCAGATTTATGTGAAGCTCAAGCTCGAAGATGTCAATATAATGGACAAAATTCTATCTGATCAAGATCGCATAATCTGGGAAAGTATGGGTCTCACCCCGGATGTTCAATCGATGGAAAATGCTGCATTGTTGACAAAAGTATTTTGCTCTTTTCGAAAGCAGAATAATAATCAGATTTCCCTTCATTTGTGACACTTTATTCCAACATAATACCTTCTCTCCATAATTCCAGATGCTAACGACTGCTTTTGGTTCAACACCCGTTCCAATGCTAAATGATCCAACAAAAAGCGCCGTCAGTTGGTTGGTGAAGTATTTGAGCTCAAAAGAAATCGCATATGAAATCGCAACGCAACACTCAGATCGATTCACATACACTCTGGAGTTGGCCATTCGATTTGGCAAAGTGCTCATTGTCGACGATTGCAATGAAATCAAACCACCGTTGTTAACGATCATTTCGACCACAATTCAAATGCGGTTCAATAAGAAGTTCCTTCAAGTTGGCAACAAATTGGTCGATTTCAATGAAAATTTCAAAGTGATCTTATCATCGCGTGGAACTGTGAATTTTACAAATAAAACCGGAATTATTGACACATACCTAACGGTTATTCCGTTTACAACTACGGTGGCTGGACTAACAGGTCGAGATCTAATGAATGTTCATAATTTGAATGTGTCTTTATAAATCTAAATTTCTTCGCAAATTACAGATCAACTAATGAGCAAGTCAATTCAAGTTAAGCAACCGGAACTCGAAACAAAACGCATTTCATTGTTACAAAATGAAAGCGATTTGCTTAAGAAGAGAGAGGAACTGCAAGAGAAACTCTTGCTTGAACTGTCGAAATCCCAAGGCGATATTTTGAAGAATGAAGTGAGTTAGATTAAACAAAAATGGAATAATTATTAATTTTGAATGTGTACAATGTTAAGAATAAATGTAAAATTGTTTTTCCCTTCATTCATTAGAAATTGTTGCAAACATTGAATGAGGTGAAGACAAGTAGTTCCCAAATCGATTTGTCGTTGCAAGAATCAGCCGAAATTAAACGGAAATTAATGGGCGAGTATGAGCAGTACAAAGATGCATGCAGCCGTGCGGCCAGTTTGTATGTGGGCATTAATCAAATCTACGTGATGCCTGTCAATGTTTTCATGTCGCTCTATGTGAAGAGCATCAGCCTTGAAAAGGTAAATTTTTAGTGATACGGATTTTCACTCACGCGAGTTCAAATTTTGTGTGTTTCATTAACATTCAACATTCAACATTTAACTTTTTATCGAATGTGATTGGGCATAATTTATTTGATTGAATTTACAGGAATTTGATCAACGCCGTATATTCGAACAAGTGGTCAAGTCAACGTACAATATGATAAGCCGAGCGTTGCCAAAAGATGAACACTTTGCACTTGCATTGCATATACTCAAAGGATCACGCCCCGAACTTGTTCCCGAAAAGGTAATTTTTTCCGTTGGTTGAAACTTTATCCAATCTATTTCCATGTGATTAATCTTTTTTCCCCAGGAATGGGAATCATTCATCACAAATTTTGCGCTCGTCGATGAGAGTGGCGATCATAAAATACCAAGTTGGATTAAAAAGAATATTGCACCTAAAGTAGTATCACTGAAACTAAACCATTATGATTTGTACAACATACTTCAGCTTGAAAATGAAGGTCTTTGGCGTTCATTTATGAACAGTACCACGCCAACTGATCTTCCCGTGCATGTGACTGAGTTGCAAAAAATATTGGTAACACAAATTTTCCGACCGGATTTGCTCATCACCACAATGACGCGATCACTATCGAAGCTTCTCATGACGAATGTTCCATGCGAAATAAAGCCGAGCATCCAGCAATTGTTCGATGAAACCAGAGAGGATGAGCCAATTCTGTTTATAACAAATGGTGAGATTGATCCATCGAAAGATGTGTTGGATTTCTCTCAGCACAAACTTGGGCCCAACAAATTCATGGAAATGGCCATTGGCAAGGGCCAAGAGAATGGTGTCATGCAGCAAATTCGCCAGACGGCACAAAATGGCAATTGGATTTGCGTGAAAAATGTGCAACTCGTGCCAAATTGGCTGAACGAACTCAATGAAATGCTGCAAACACTTCCGTATCGTGATGGATTCCGTATTTGGCTGGTTTGCGATGGTACTCGTCATTTTCCACAATCTTTGCTGAACAAATGCAATAAAGTCCTGTATGAGGCACCAAACAGTATAAAATCGAAAGTACAACGGTTAATTCAACAATGGAGGAGCCTGCTAGAGAAGAAACGTGATGCTAAACTTTTGAAGGTCTACATCGTGTTGTTCATTTTTAATGCGGTCATTCAAGAGAGGCGAGGCTTTGTGCCACAGGGATGGACTAAACCATACGAGTTCTCAGATGCAGATTTGAAAGCAGCCATTGATATCATCGGATCGATGGAGAAAATGACATCGTTTAAAATGGACTGGTCCATTTTGAAGGAATTATGTCGTTTGATCGCATATGGTGGACGAATCGATAATGCACAGGATCAATTGATTTTGAAAGCAAATTTCGATGAATTTTTCACCGATAAGATGATGACCAATTCATGGACACCGCTTGAACTCAAATGCCCCATTCCATTGTCGTATAACGTTCAAGACTATTTGAATGCATTGTATCGACTACCCGACGCTGATAATCCAGAAACATTTGGCTTGTCATCGGTTACGATCCTGATTCGAGACTCAATCATGTGTCGCAATATTTTAAAGCAGTTGAGACGTAAGTTAACGAACGTTCTCCTTAAGCATTTTTAAATGATATTGAATTTTTGTCGAGTCTTTGACTCTCCGCGTGTAACCAATAATCCAAACATATATTCAAATGTAATTTTATTTGTTATGCCAATACATTTTTCTTTCGTTACAATATATTAGAATCGGAATTGACGATGGATACTCGGAATTTCGACAAAAGAATTAAACCGATTCTTAGTCTGTGGAGAAAATTAAACGAGGTAAGTAATTTTTAATCCACTTTATTTATTTTCTTCCAAATCGTCAATTTTGGAAATTTAATTTGCCAATGAATGTAATTTCCAATGAAACGTACCAATTTTATTATGGTGTGTGGATTGACCATTTAAAATTGACTATTTTCCAGGGCGTGAATTTGACTCATTCAAGCGATATAATTCAAATGCAAAATAGTGACTCTGCGAAACCTTGGACATTGTTCGTGATTTCAGAGCTTTTGATGGCCAAAAACATATTCAAAGCAATTCACAGTACGTTGAGTATGATTCATATTGCAATGAAGGATGTGTCGTCGCTGACGCGTGATACGTTGAATTTGATTCGAATAATATGTGAAAATCAAGTGCCATTCAAATGGCGCCAGATTTGGTCGGGACCACGGTTCATTGTTGACTATATCAAAGCGGTTGTTAGTCGCTGCACAGAGGCGGAACGGCGTTATCAAGGTAGCATTCACATTGATTTTTGTGATGAAATCGATTTCGCCAAAGTGTATAACGTGGAATCATTTTTGGCTGCATTAAAACTGAAAAATGCACGGTAATTATCATTGCATGTCATTTTTCCGTATACTATTCGATGTGTGATTTGTGTTAATTTCTCTTTTTATTCTGTTCTATAAAGCGAACTTGATACTTCAACGTGTGAATTGGAGCTTGTCTCCAGTTTAAAGGGTCAAGTGCACACATTACCCACAACGAAAATAACTGTCACATTGCTAACGGTATTAATTTGTTTTTCTTCTTTCACTCATGAAAGAAACAACAACATTATAATTTCACGAGTTATTAATTTTAAACGTTCATTTTCAAAGGTCGATGGCGCGGCATGGAAGGACAATAAAATTGTATTGAACTTACCCGAATTTGGTTCGCCGTCAATAATTAAGAATCTAACAATGACCTACACCACAAAATCCATTCACAACGACAAAAATATCGTTGAATTGCCGTTGTATAGCAATTCGACACGTAATGCTTTCATTTGTTCGCTGAAAGTGGTGGCAGGTGCCCCTTGCGATTCGGTCATTCTGTCTGGTGCTGCACTCATTGTAGCCGACATGTGAACGAATATCGTACGATTGAATGAATTAACCCATTATATTATTATGTAAACCACTACAAACGTTTATTATAAAAAAAATACTTTACAATAATGTACAGATGTGTCTCTTGTTATGCATGCCATCTCCACTGAATTGTGTATGAGCATGGAAATGGCTGAATTTAGTAGTAATGAATGAAGTGCCCTCAAAAAAATGAGCCAATGACTTGTTATCTCTTTTCATTTTTCCACCATGGCTTGTACCGAAAACTTTCAGTCCAAAGCATAATGATGGTCAAATGAGCAGACAAAGCCAGGCTTTGCTCAAATTCAAGACAATATGATCAAAATGATGTTCTGTACTTATCTATATATAAAAACTAAGATGAATAACATTAAATGCACTTCTTTTCAGAATAAATTGTTGATGTTTGCCTTTCAAAATATATATAAAAAAATCGATTAAAAACACGATCGATATTCTACAATATAAATCTGTAATAGCTGTCTTTCAAGCTGTACAAACAGACGACGGGTGGGCACTTTTTCTCCGAAAAGATGTCCGTAATCTCTTCGACCACGTCTTTGATATAGCGTTTATATTGGGGAAATCGATCGATCACAAATGAAATCTCATTGTCAATCTCTTTAGCGGTGGCACCGCGCGGATCCATCGCACTGATCAGTGCACGAATGATGATTGGCTGAAGATCAACGGCTACCACAGCGATTTGTTCACGTTTATTGAACAAAAGCAGTGACTCGGACATGTGGCTAGTGAGGAAATTCTCTTGGCGCTTCCGTTGGCTAGATGTCATTTTGTCGTTGATTTTGAAAATGATGTCGACGGTGGGCAGTGTTGGTTCAGCCAAACTGGCATTACTTCGATTGTATTTGGTGGCTTCACTTAAACTAAGACTTTGTTGCGTGAATGTTGCCTCGGGTTCGGGTCGCAGCGCTTTTTTTATGTATGCTATGATCTCGTCTCGATTCATCAATTTCTCTTCAAATCGTTCATTGATCCATGATCGTACCCGTAGTATACCATCTTCAGTGTAGATCACATAATAGATTGCACCCAGATCTTTTGCCATATCTTGTCCATCCTCGGGATTATTCGCCTGAACAATGGCACACTGAATACCCGATGACCAGAGTGCACGCAAAATTTGTGTTACATCTCTGAAATTTGGTCGAATACCAGATACACACACAACAACGTCTGTCGTTTTTGTATCTTCGGTGTAAGTTGCACTCAATACACTCATTATTTTATCCAAGGCAAACGATAATCCAGCTCCGGATTGACTATTACGATTTGGTATAGTTACACCGCGATTGTGAGCTTGTCTCCTGATTCGGAAAAAAGAAGATTTTTTTGATGTAATTTCCAATTTCGTTGTGTTTAGAAAACAAAATCTTCGAATTGCATTCTTACTGATATTCCGATAGCATGTAGTCGTATCTGCCACCCACTCCAAGCACGTATGGAATTCCTTGATGATTCTTATTTTTGAAATCTCCCAGCAATTGCCAGATTATTCCACCGTTCTTCGCTTGTTCGTATCCAACAGCAAGGCCAGCATACAAACTGATTGAACACTGTTGAGTGGAATTGATATGTTAACCAAAATTTCAAAGTAAATTTTCCAAATACAGATTCAATGTCGCTTAATTCTCTGATTAAAAAGGAATTTTAATCTTTCAACATACCATAACACCAAGACTCTGTGATAACGACACCACATTCTCAATTTCATCCATTGCAGCCCGTGCCATTTTCGATGCTTCGCTATGACCTTTGATCAAGTTTCTCAAACTGGAACCGTTGGTGTAATGTGATTTTGGTCCACCCAATGGAATTTCTGTTAGCATAATATCCAATAAATTGGTAGCGCTATGTTTTGATGATTCCAGCAAAAGTGTTATCGTTGAATGTAATTGAAATTTCGAAATTCTGCGATCGCTATAGTCGAGCACGGCTGTAAAAACATCGTTGTACTTGTCTCTAGGCACATTGTGATGTGTTAGAATGGCGTTCAATAATGAAGTATGATTCAAGCGAATCGAAAGGTTTTGCTGCTTTAATGCTGGAAAAATGTTTGTAAGTTCATAGGCTATGGAGATGAGTTCGGCGTCAATCAGTCTGTTTCCTGTGTGGACGAGTAAAATTTGACATTGAATGAGTTTTAATTGAAAAAAGAAGAAGCAATGAATCTGAACAAGTAAAACTGAAACACATGAGTACGTACTGCATTCAGTTGCCGAAGACGGGGTAATAATATCGAATGCACATTCGTACAATTGTTTTGGATGAAAATTGAACACTTTCTTTTCGCGATAGATTCTGCCAACGGAATATCGTCGCATCAAATTGATACCGCTCAATGCAATGTGTTTGATGAATGGAACGCGCAGATCATGTGGAAGAACAACCACACTGCCGGAGTGAGTCATCAAGCGAACCGCCGTACTTTTGGTTGATTTTACATATGGCGAAAGCAGCGGAGTCACCACTTCCATTGCACCGTGCTTCTGGAATAAGGAGGTTATTTCACGCTGCAAGTAAAAAATGAATGTTTCGTTGATAATTTCCTTGAAAATGTGAAAGTTTTCTCTTAAAAAATAAAACAAAATTTCAACTTACTTTAACATATTCCAATTTCGAATTGATTTCCAACAATCCGAGATGATAGGTGAGCTCCAGCACGGTGTCACTCTGTTGAGCTAAGCATCTGGCCACTAAATGTTTGTACGATTTACTCTGTGGATTGGCTAGCACATGTCGCAGCATTTCTTGCAATTCGTTGTCTTCGAGACGAGCGGGCGGCAGTAAATCGGAAGCTAGCAATTCCTCGGTAGTCGGACGCTTATTTTGATCATGATTTAACAACCATTTGATCACCTGAAACAATTTGATGATCATTTTTATTTTATTCACCCTTAAAATTACCACCCACTAAATTAAATAAACTCAAATTTTGAACGTACTTTAACTTGTTGCGCATAGGTCTGATCATTTTCCATCCAAGAAGGTATTAATACTTTTGGCGATCGCAGTGCAGCTAACGTTTCAACGCGTTCCATACCCGTCGAGAATGGTCGATGGCACATTTCAAAGAATATAATTCCAAGTGAATACAAGTCGACTTTTTGATTGTAAATCGATTTGCCAGCTTTGCCCGTAAGCTCTGGTGCGACATAGAGAGCGGTGCCAACTTTACCGGTGTGCTGTGAACCACTGATTTCGCCATGATTTCGCGACAGACTCACTTCATGATTCTGTTGCAAAGCCAAAAAGCTAGTGGTGGCCAGACCAAAATCTCCGATTTTTACTTGATCACGAGAGTCCAAGAAAATGTTCACCGGTTTGAGATCCCTGTGAATCATGCCTTGTGAATGAATGTGTGCCAAACCTTCAGTAATTTCACGGAAAAGTCTCCACAATCGTTCAGTATTACTGTACAAATTATTGTCGATTGCCGTGCGCAGCGTGCTTTTCTCACAGAATTCCATTTGTATATACATAATTTGCACTTCATATTTCGGTGATCGGCTGATTTGTTGGCTACTCGAAATGGCTTGAGATTCATCATCATCATCATCGTCGTCGTCGTCATCATCATTTTCATCGTCATCTTCAATTACTTCGCCGTCCGAGTTTACAAATTCAATGCCATCCGAACTGAAATCGTTGTTGTTTGGCCTGCAATGAATGAAATAGGGTAAGATAAAAAAAAAGTCGATTCAAAATTTTGATTCAAACTTACGGTGATCCCAGCCAGTCATCTGATGAAGACTCGTCAGGTTTCTGTATCACGCAAAGTTGATTGTCACTTTCTCTGCTACTCGTTGCACTCTCATTGTCAGCGTCGCCATCAATCTGTGCGTACTTTTTAAGGTCCGATTCATTGGCATTTTCGATCCAGCTGTTGAAATATCGAACAACATTCTCATGGTTCAAACGTGAGAGCAGCTCGACTTCTCGCGTCATCTTTTTGAATATTTGTCTTGAGCGAGTGGTCAGCGGGATTCGTTTGATGGCATACTGTCGATTGTCGAGGATATTTTTCACTTTTAGAACGTCTCCGTAGGCACCCTGTCCCAACCATTGCAACACTTCGAATTCGGTTTGCAGACGAGAGTGTCCCAACGGCATGATTGATGTATGCATCGGAAATTCTGTGACTCTCTTCTCCGGCACAACAATTGGTTGTGAGTTATTTGCACCGTTTGAACGATCGGGCGACAGAAACGGATGTTCAAGCAAATCGGAAGCGGTTATGGTTCGTTCACTTTTACATTGTTCAATGAAATCAAACATATCGGGATTGGGTAACTGCAAAAGTGATTCAACCAAATGGCCAAGGGCTGGCAAATCACCTCCACTGTGTTTACTACATTTTGATGTGCCCATGAGGTAGGTCATGTACGATACTAACCAAAAGTCCGTGACTCGACACACACCCGAATTGTCCAGATACACAGAACCATCGTCGATGTTACTGTGCGAAATGCCCTTGTTGTGTAAATAGATGAGAGCATCCAAAACCCCCTTGGCAACAATACCAACGGACGAATACGACCATCCAAGCGAATTTGATATACAATTCACACTATTTCCCTGCACAAAATCCTGCACCAAATATACAATAATGCCTTCTTTTCGTCGCAAACACAAGACCATTTCGTAAGCGACTAAATTTCTGTGGCGAATGCTCGACAGTTGCATCACTTCTCGTTCGACACAACTTATGATCTCATCGACTGTGTGGCCGCTGCATTTACTTGACTCATTTTTGCAATTTATTGTACATTTTGACTCCAGCTGCGAATATTTAATATTCCATTCTGTGATATAAAGCAATTGACCCGTCTCTGAATCAATCCCAGAATAGGATATACTACCATTTTGCGAATGACCTGTAAGAATAGCGTAATTAGTGCCGTGAAACTATGTTAAATTCGGAAAGAAATACTAACCTAAACAGCAACCTCTTCGAATCTTTCGACCGACTGTTGTAAAATAGAGGTCTTCACTGCTTAAATGAAGCTCACAACCATTTTGTGTTCCATCCAATGGATGGTCGGCCATTTCGGCTGAACTATTTGACCTGTGCTTTGGACTTTGCTCACTCATACTCCGTCGAACGTCTCGGCGCCATCGATCTTCTTGGCGAAGAATTTCTTTACGTTTTAGAACCTCATCGCGTATCAGCTGTTGTTCATGACTCAGCCACTGTGCTTGTTGCTGTAGCAATGCCTCATCCCGTTTATTCCGCTCGAGTAGCATCTGATCGTAGAAACTGCCACACGGTGCTTTGTTGTGCTTATGAAGGAATGCTTGCACAGCTTGAGTCAGATCATAGATGACCACCTCTCCTTTCTTCTGCTCACACAGCTCATTCAATTCCTTAATCAACTCATTCTTCTGTACATCGGACAGCCCCTTTGTTTCTTCCAAATAAATTTTTGGCGAACTACAAAAGAAACCGAAAATAATTCGAATTAAAATTTGGATGAAAAAATGCAGTGCACTTCTCATATTCTAAATTTTCAGCAGAAAAAAAAAATCGTCGCGCCACTAAACGAACATATGGATAAATATTGCGTTATCAGCACAAGCAAACAGTGACGCAGATATTTTGCCACCGCCGATCAATTATAATATTTGAATACGATTGCGTTATCATAATTCAACATAACCTACACTTTTGGATATTTTGATGGGCATATTATGTGCAATTTGGTTCTGGCGTATGCTTCACGAGTACCAGATGATCCTTTTTGTGGCAACAACGTGATTACTATGTCCATTGGCCTCCAACCTCCATTGTTTTTATGGTCACGCAAATCAATAACATCATTGCCAAAAATCGACTGTAAAATAAACAATGAGTTATTCATCAATATTCAGCACATTTGGCACAACCACAGCGACTCCTCTTTTTATTTCGTTAGAAAAATTCAATCAAATCACTCACTTGAATCACTTCCAATTCATTATCCTGTTGTTGGCGATAGCTCTCTTTATTCTCCATCATTCAAACCAACATTTGTCTTTCTACATTTCACACAGCATTCTCGGAATATTAAACCGACCGAATCAAACCACTTTTTTTTTTAATTTTTTACGACGCCAATTATTTCTTGTTGTTGTTGTTGTTGTTTATTTGGTAATCTGTTTGTTTCGCTTGGAACGCTGTCAGTCTGAGGAAGCTCACACTTGACATTTGTTTTATATATGGTATATTCCGTCAGCTGTTGAGCCGATACCGCGTCATTTTACACTCGCTGTCAGTGTGGCTATGTGTGAGTGCTAGTGAATTCAAGTTGGATTTCAACGTAACGATCGAAAATTTACATTTGAATATTTTTCAATCTTCTTTAAGTAATAAAGGCTCAATTTGTGTGTATACTGTATATGCTTTTCGACATAATTTATTCACGTTTTCATTCTATGTTTCGATCAATTATTCCAAAGCTACTGCTCAACTGCATTACCAAATATTCTGACAGTTTCACGTTTTCGAGTAAAGTGTGAGTCTTAACGAAACGGCAATGCGTTTAATTCATGTAAAAAGACATACTAACGCACTATTCTTGTGGAAATATGTACAAAATATTCCGAAAATTGTTCTATTCAACGTGAAACGACTAGCCGGTATGAAAGCAAATCATATTAATCTCTGACATTTCTACAAAAATAAGCCAACGCCGCCAAGAATGAAGTGTCACTTGCACGACGATGGTCATACATGATTTCAAAAGTCCGTGCGTTGTTTTATCATCATGTATCGCATAAGGAATGTAAAAAGTTTATCGCTTTCCCTAATAAATAAACATTATAATTGCCATCGGAAAAGTTCCGGCTACACGATAACAACAAATGATTCGGAGCAATCCGTGTCCATCGATATTGGAAATGAGTAAGTGTTGTGTGACATTTTGTTTGGTTATGTTTTAACATTCGAATCGAATGCTAATGCCTATTCCTATTTTTATTGGACGTATAGTAAAAATGTGAAATTGTCAACGGGAAAATATGCTCGATTTGCGAGTGGAACGGGCGTGTGTCAGATGGGCAATACATCGATGATGGTGACAGCTGTTTCAAAGGATGCGCCGAGTTCATCGAGCGCAAATTTTATGCCTTTAACCGTTGATTTTCGCCAAAAATATGCAGCCGCCGGACGTATTCCAACCAATTTTCTGCGAAGAGAGTTGGGTGTGTCTGAGAGAGAAATCCTATCGTCACGTATTATCGATCGGTCGGTTCGGCCATTGTTTCCAGCTCATTTTACGTGCGAAACGCAATTGGTTTGCAATATGCTTGCCCTTGACTCGATTTACGCACCGGATGTGTTGAGTATAAATGCGGCATCGTTTGCATTGGCCATCAGTGACATTCCATGGAATGGGCCAGTCGGTGCTGTTCGACTGGGATTGATTGACGACAAAGTTATATTGAATCCATCGCGTTTAGAACTACAGTCATCCCGCTTAGATTTGGTTGTGACAGGCACCAAAGACAAATTAATTGTTATGATTGAAGGCAAAGCCAATTCCGTTCCGATGCCATATGTAATGAAGGCAATCAGTACCGGTACTAAAGCATGTCGAAAAATTTGTACGGCAATTGAAGAGTTTCGATTGAAATATGGCAAACAAAAACGTGAGGTTAAAGTGCCCGAAACGGTTAATCCGGAGATCACTGATGCGGTTCGATCAATGTGCGAAATGCGATTGAACGAAGTATTTCAAAACTATACACACGACAAAATGAGCAGAGATCTGGCAGTCAAAGAGATACGAGAGGATGTTGTCAATCGAGTGTGGTCTAGCTATCCAAACGTTGATCCATCAGCAATTACTGAAATTTTCAATACAATTCTCAAAAGCATATTTCGCGAGCTAATTTTCCAGAACAAAAGATGTGATGGACGAGCGTTAGACGATCTTAGGCCGATATCATGTGAAGTAAATTTACATGAGCCATTGCACGGGTCCTCATTGTTTCAACGAGGTCAAACTCAAGTCATGGCCACCGTTTCCTTAGATTCCATTGACAGTGCCATGAAATTGGACACAATGTCATCAATAAATACGTAAGTTACGGCGCCTTAATTTCAAATGTTCCGCACATCTTTATTAACTATAATGGTCTTGTTCATGTCTTTTGTTCGCGATGGAAAGGGGTGTTAAATCGAAAAACTTTTTCCTTCACTACGAATTCCCACCATATGCGACTGGAGAAATTGGCCGAGTAGGCGCCGTTGGGAGACGTGAAATCGGTCATGGAGCACTTGCCGAAAAGGGATTACTTTCAATTATTCCACAAGATTACCCATTCGCGGTGCGATTGACATCCGAAGTATTGGAATCAAATGGTAAGCGATCATCGTTGCGTTTTTTCTTCAAATTTTTGGATAAAAGTCCAAATAAAATCATAATCTCTTTCGTAGGTTCAAGTTCAATGGCAACTGTATGCGCTGGATCAATGGCGCTTATGGATGCAGGTGTACCGATTTCAGCGCCAGCAGCTGGAATCGCTATGGGTTTAGTAACCAAATATAATCCAGAGAATCCAACGGAGTTAACTGACTATCGAATTTTAACAGATATTTTAGTGAGTTTGCCCATATCAATCGTGCAATACGAACGTTCTCCGTTAAAATGTGTGTTGAAATGAAAAATCTTTGCAGGGGATTGAAGACTATTTAGGAGATATGGATATGAAAATAGCAGCAACAAGAGAAGGCCTAACAGCGATACAGGCAGATATCAAAACGCATGGACTACCAATGAAAGTGGTTGCAGATGCCGTCGATCAATCAATTAGGTCAAAGAATAAAATTTTAGATTTAATGGAAAAATGTATAAGAATGCCGCGGCAAGCGCGAAAAGAGTGTTGGCCGGTGACCAAAGAGATGAATATCGATCCGGGACAACGGAGCCAATTGTTCGGTCCCGGTGGTATGAATTTGAAGAAAATCTTCCTGGAAACGGGCGTTCATTTAACTGAAACCGAACCAAATGTATTTAATATTTTTGCGCCATCGCCAATGTCGTTAAACGAGGCGGAGGCGCTCATAAAAGAGCTATTAGCGTCAAAGACAGTGCCGAATTTAGAATTTGGTGGGATTTATGTGGCGAAAATTGTGGAAATGAGGGAAAATGGTGTGATGGTCACTCTCTACGATGGCATGAAACCAACACTTATTCATGTAGCACAGCTGGATAGTAGGCGTGTAAGTGTAAAATTATGCCATATTTTGTCGATGCGACGTTTATATTCCTTTTTTCGATTCTCTTGCTTGTTGTATGACTTGATTAAGCCGAAACAAAAGACAAATACCAAATACGTTTTATTTTCATTTGATTCAATTAGGTTGCAAATCCGGCAGCATTGGGATTCGAAGTGGGTCAAGAAATCAAAGTGAAATATTTTGGCAATGATCCTGTTTCGGGATTTATGCGATTATCACGGAAAATGATAACGAATACGGCCACCGATGTAACAATAAACCTTACCAAATAAAATATATTGCATTCAATAAGAAGAAGAAGAAGCAGAAGAAGGAAAAGAAAAAATAACGACACAAGACTATTGTATGAAAAATGAAAACCGACACACGTGTTTTATTTGCTGTTGTTGTTTTTGTCTCTATGCGAAATTCCATTCCAGTTCCGTCGAATCAGTTGCAATAGTTGTGAACTTGAAATAATTCTCGATCGGTTGAATTTTATCGATTGAGGGCCACCTTGAGTTTAATAACATCAGCGAGCGAGAGAGCAAACTGCAACAAACTCAAAAATATGTGTATGACATTTTTGTTCCCCTTTCCATAAATGGTATTGTCATGTTGTCCCGTTCAAAGTTGATCACATTTGAAACAAAAATCGAACACATGTGTACATGATTCCTTTTCGACCTAATGAAAGCATATATCTGCCATATATACATACTACAATTTTTTCCTGTTAGGCCTAAAGGTTCATATATATCGACGATTGTGTATGCATCGAATAAGGCACGATTGGCCGACTTGAAGCAAATGTACATCGTGGTGTGCTATCATCCATCCACTAGCGTTGGCCGTTTGCTTAAACACCGAAACAACCACAAACTCCATACAGCTTCAAGTTGTGGGCAATGTGCTGCTGCTGCTGTTGTAACCGTTGCTCCTTCTGCTGCTGCTGCTGCTGCTGCTCCTGTGGCTGTTACTATTTCTCATCTCGACAATATGTGGAAGTGATTGCGCGCGCAATATCCAATCCAATCCAATCCACAACACACTATACACACTCCATCCGTGTACGGTATCGTATTCCATCGGTTGGAACATGCAGGGTATTTGAACTTTACGGAATCATTTCAATTTATATGCAAACATTTTGATTTCACTCTCAGTCTAGTTCAACAATCGGTATGACGCGACTGTAATATGTCTGCTGCTCTAACGGTTGTTCATCATTGGTCTCACACATATTTGATAAACTTTGAAATCCCATTTCCATAAGCATTTTTTATTCAACAATAACAAACCAAAATAAAACAAAATAATAATACCTAAATGCAAAGTAATAGAACGTTTTTTCATACACTTGAAACAAGAATTTTTCAATATATTCTTTTCTATATAAATAAAAATAAATTTTAACAAATAAATCACTTGTATTTAAAAGGAAAAAGAAACATTATATAAATAATACCAGCAAAGAAAAATTAACTATAAAAACTGAAATCATAAGTAGAAACGTTTTGAAAAATTGAAAACGTATCGAGGCGTTGTGCAGTCGGAAAATTCAATGGTTTTTCAAAAAGTAACGATCACTTAGAAATCAAACATGGTTGAAATAAATAGCGATGTAAAAACAATGGGCATTGCAATAAATATGCAGCGAGTTTTTAATCCATTGGTCGAAGCGGCAACACTTCGATTGCAAGACACACAAATAGGAAACTTTAATGTAGCTATCGAAGATTTGAATGTAAGTTTGTTCTTTCTCTCATCCATTTCGTTTGTTCTCTCCTTTTGATCACGATGATTTTTCTCTGCAATTTGCAAGTCGAGATTTTTCCATTTGCGATCACCAACCAATTAATTGCTTTAATTGAAACACTCTTTTCTCTCGTAATTCTATTTCAACTGCAGGAAACCAATAGCCAATCATACGATAATGAATCGTATGTATCGAATAGAGAGTTTGAGCTGCTGTATCGTCATTCGGTGACTTTAACGGCCGTTTATTGTGTGGCTTATGTGATAGTGTTTATCGTTGGTTTAATCGGGAATAGTTTTGTTATTGCGGTCGTTTTGCGATCACCACGAATGCGAACCGTTACTAATTATTTTATAGTGAATCTAGCTGTTGCTGATATTTTGGTCATAGTATTCTGTTTGCCGGCCACACTCATGAGTAACATATTTGTCCGTAAGTATTTCATTTTTATTTTCTGTCTAAATTTAGAAACATATATCATTTGACATATTTGTTGTGTGTGTGTGTATATATATCTTTTGTTATTCTATTGTGCCAACGATATTTGAATGCAACGCACAAGATGATAATGCAATTATGATTTAAATCATAGGCAAAAAGTGAGAGGCATTTCCATTCAGATTTGTGAACCTTGAACTATTTACCGCTATCTTGAGTTGCATCGAAAGTGGCATTGTATAGAGAATCGGCTTTTATTGTGCATTTGATTGATACCATGCTCCTTTTTTCATCGATGGACAATTCAACTTGAGAAAATTTCATTCCTAATGAGAAAGCAAAAAAAAAAAATAATAATGAGAACGTAAAAGGAAACGAAATTGAATAAAAAAATACACGACCAAAAGTTGGAATGTGAGACGCGATTAAATTAAAAGAAAATTATATAATAAGTAACAATAGAAAAGTGATCAAAGGCAACAGAAAAAAATGAAGAAAAAACAATATTGGAAGAAGTTGGCAAAAACCACATAAACGGTCAAATCAACAACACATATATGAAATAGTACAAGTTAATTTTCTGTTGTGACTGTGGATATTTCTGATGGTGATGAAGTTGGTGGCGATGTTGTTGTTTCTATGATTACATCGTCTCATCGCCGAGCAAATTGTAAATGATGCATACATAACGACAGTATATTGAAAATAATAGTATTAACGGTTGTACACCATTGCCATGGTGTGTAAACAAATGGAAACGACAATGTCGGAAAAATTAGAGAGACATACACACCAGAAAGCAGCAGCAGCAGAGAGTGTGGGAGCGTGTGATCGTAGCATACAACCAGCGCGCACATGCACTCGCTCCGATTAGACGTTAAGAGTCATATGGATAGACAGGGTAGAGAGCATTTCAGTGTTAGAGATGTAATATTGGGCAAGGGGAATGGGGGGAGAAAGAGTGAGGAATAATCAAAACATGGTTGTAGTCATCGTAGCCAGCGAGCGAGCCGAGTGCATGCTTGTGCACACAATCGCTCTCTCGCACCCCAAATACATACAGGTGAACTGAGCCAGTCCGCCAGCCAGCCATCACAACATACTATATGTAAAACAATGCGCTCCGCATAGTCACTGTATTGGAAAAAAAATTGGAGGCCTTATGTAATACATTCACGAAAATGTATACAGTGCGATACGCAAACAGAGATAGAAACAGGATACACATATCCAATTCAATGGCACGACACTGTGAATGAAAGAGAAAGAGAAAGAGAGAGAGAGAGAGTGTGTGTGTGTGTGTGTGTATGTGTGTGAGAGCTGGATGTGTGTGATATTCTCGACTCGAATGTATTCGGATAAATAACACATGATGGAAAGCAGCAATTGAGTAGAAAAAAGTAGGTCGCCAGTGTGTGTGCCGATGACCTACCGTAGAAAGTTTTTCTCATGGCTTTTCCACGCAGGTATATTATGCATTTTGTGGCTGCCGAACGGGAAAAAAATCACTCTTCAAGTATATAGTGGCCATCTAACAAACGCACACTCTCCCTCTTCCGTTCTTTCGCTCTCTCTCTCTCTCTCTCTCTCTCTCTCTCTCTCTCTCTCTCTCTC